ATATTGTGGCCTTCAGTAATGCTGCTCCAACTGCCATTTTGACACTTAGATTACTCCACACGGAGATTGTGCTTATTCCCAGTTGCGGTTGTTCTTCATATTTTTAACTATTTTTAAGGGTTAAAAGGTAAATGGAGGGACGCAGTGGCTCAGTGACTAAGACACTAAGCTTGCCGATCGAAAGGTCGGCAGTTCAGCAGTTCGAATCCCTAGTGCTGCGTAACGGGGTGAGCTCCCGTTACATGTTCCAGCATCTGCCAACCTAGCAGTTTGAAAGGACGTAAAAAATGGAAGTAGAAAAATAGGGACCACCGTTGGTGGGAAGATAACAGCGTTTCATGCGCCTTTGGCATTTAGTCATGCCGGCCACATGACCACGGAGACATCTTCGGACAGCGCTGGCTCTTCAGCTTTGAAACGGAGATGAGCACCCCTAGAGTCAGGAACGACTAGCACATATGTGCAAGGGGAACCTTTACCTTTAACACTGAATAAGAAATTTTATACCCAGAGCCAGGGATGAATATTATCTTCTTTCTGCTATTCCTAAGCAGACATTTTTCTTGCTATAAACTGATATCTGTTTTAGCCCAATGGATTAATGCATTCCTTCTTTAGGGAACATCCAATAGATCACATGCTTTACAGTTATACCATGCCTGTATAAGAGTTTGTCTAAACGTTTAAGCATCCATCACTCTGAGTAATTGTTTCTAATCACTGGAAAAACCATTTCACAGCTCCATGTGAAATGTGAAAGCTCCGTGTTCATCCTCTTCATAATTAAACATATCATGCTGTGTACACTGAAGGAGTATTTAACCCTTCTAAATGTATACATATTTCCCAGTTTATTTTGCTTTTTTTAGTGGGTGGCACAGATGTGTTTCAATCAGAGGACTGAATCTAATTTTAATAAATCTATTGTTAAATCATATTGCCTTTTCTAAACCTTGGTCAATACATTATCTATAAAGATATCAGTTTAGAGATCCTTGGAAATAACATATGGAAGTATGCCAGAAAATAAAAAATTAAAATTGCTCTCCATTCCATCCAGCACATCCATCCAGCAGATGAAAGTGGTTTGTTGCATTCATCATATATAGGATTACAAATAGTATTTGTAAATAGTGGGAGAAGCCTCTGAATAATGTGGAATAGTCCATCCCATAGATGCAAGTCAGAGCAAAACCAAAATGCTGGGAGATTACAATTACAATATCAACTGTAATCAGAACTGGAGAAGGAGGGAGGGACCCAGTTCTTAACCATTCTTGGTATATTTGTTTCCATTTATATGTGTTGATATATGAAACAGGGCAAAGAGATGTTGCCTAGGGAATGGTCAGATAAGAAGAGACATAGTCCACAGGTGCACAATGGGCAGAAAAAGAAGTTCAGAAGGGACCCTCCAGTGGTGGGGTACAACTGGTTTAACAACCGGTTCGGTGAGCGCATGCTTTGCGTGTGCTTTGCGCGCGCGCGCGCCTAATGCTCTTGCGTACAGCATTCAAAATGCAGCAATTTGAAGCTCAGCTGCTTACCTTCTAAGGCAACCCCAGTAAGTAGAACAGTGGAGGCATGGAAATCAGCTGTGCCATGCAAATCAGCTGAGCCAGAAAGAAGGAAATATAGGACAGGATAGGGCGGGGCGGGTGGGCAGGGCCAGCTGATCATCAGAAGTACCGGTTCACCCAAACCGGTCCGAACCTGCAGCAGCCCAACACTGGGACTCTCCCTAACTTCTTAAGCTGTAAAGGAGACAATGGGAGATTTGTATTTTCAGATTTGCAAGATTCTGTTAATGTAACCATACAATAAAGTAGATCATCTGGCCATGTTTCCTGTCTGGTTTACCTGAGAAGGCTAACTAACATCACTCTGGCAAGTGTGCAGGTACAAATCTCCTGTTGTCTCCTTTACTGTCCGAGAAGTTAGAGAAGATCTCTTCTGAGCCCATTATGCAGTTGTGGGCTGTGTCCCATCTTATCTGACCATTTCCTATGCAGTATCTCTTTAATCCCTTTATCAGGGTCTTTCTCATATACCATTACATCAAATTATTGCAACAGTATTTTATCCATGTCCCACTGAATGTGAATTGTGGTAGCTTCCTGGCACTAGAAAAATATTTATTCTGAGTAGATGTAGTTAGATAATATACGGTCTGTTACTTTGTAGTTAACTATTTCATTTAGCAGTACTGAATTCATATCAGCTGCTCGTCACTGCAACAGATAATCAGATAAATACAAGGAAAAGAATTAGAAATTTGGTGCAATAAATTTTGCAAGAGTATTCAAACTTCATATACAGATGGTATGCTTTTGAGCAATATGTTCTCCTATAACAGGTTAGAGATTTCTTAAAATTGTAGTTGAGCCAATGTTAGGCTATTAATCTTCTCTCCCTCCAAGGTTTCTAAAAATAACTGTGATTCCAGATTGAATAAATTGAAAGATTGGCAGCTTTGCAAATACAGAATGCTTTATTCTAGGACAGGCTATTTTGAAAATAACAAGAATACAAATCCTACTATTTTAGTCTGAGGACTTTAACAATTTCTTGAAACTGCAAGTTACTTTCTGAACTGAAATGTGTTGCTGTTTTACAATACTGGTTTTTCAACATTCTGCAATTGTATTTTGAAAATGAAAAATTCAAATTATATTAAGTGCTGATTGCCAATATGCAAGTGCTTGAAAATACTGCTAAATTCAGTTGTAGCAATATAGCTTTCTATTTAATAAAATCAGAATTTTTTTCTCTTATTGATTTGTAGAACCCACCAGGGTAATATTAATTTTCTTGGAAGCCAAAAACAATATTTTCCTCTTTTACGTCAGAAAGCTCTCCAGCTGTGATTAAAATCTACTGTTATCATGGCCATTCAGTACAGGCGGGAACTTTCTTCCGAGCATGTGCAAGACAAGAATCCAAGATTGTTTACTTAAAACAAAACAGGGTCTAACTGACCACATTTTAAGGAAAGTTACTTCAGGTTACTTCCATTCTGTTTCCAGTGTTTAAGCATCTATTTTATTCTCCATGAAGCCCAATAATACGATGACCTTATATGGGTATCTTGTCATTTCAAATATTCAGATTTAAATTGTGCAGAGTAGGATTTTATGTTGATAATTGATAATGGAAAACAGTCTCTTTTAAGGAGATGAAGAGGCAGCTTCACTTTGAGTTTTAGGACCTATTTCAATATTTTTCTGTTTACTCAGGAATATAAATTCTGCAACTATTCAGAATGGATGAAATAAATATTTACCCTCTTCAGATTTTGTCATTTACTGACTAATGTTAGGATTGTGTTTTCACTGTTTTATTGAATCCTAGCTGTTGTTTTAAGGAGAAGGATGAGCATTGTGTTTTATTTATGTCTTCGTTTGTTAGATTTATTCCCCGCCTTCCTTCCAGGAGCTAACAATGATGTACATAGTATTCTTCTTCAGCTTTTTATAGAATAGCCTTTGGGGTAGGTTAGAGAGATTGACAGCAGCTTGCACAAAGTCACTCACTGACCTTCCAGGACTGTCAGTGAATAATAGGACAATTTAAACAATCATGCCATCATTCACCTCTACAATGTAGAGAGGTTAGCCCCATCCCTGTTAACTTTCTGTAAGTCCCTCGAAACATGGTTATATCAAGAGGCCTGGGGACCCCAAGGGAAGAATAAGCTGTTGAAGTGGTTCCATTGTTGTTGATCTTTCCTTGCTTTTTAATCATAATGTTAATATTTTTAATTGATGTCTGTTTTTTTACATTGCTATGTTACAGTTTTTTTATTATTGTACACCACCCAGAGTCACTATTTGTGAGATGATAACCATATAATATGATGAATGAATGAATAACAACTCATTATATGTTCCCTTGGATTGTGTCCTGGGGCTTGAGGATTTCACTACCAATTCCTGCAGTGACATTTAGATTTCTAAGCAGGGCAATTATAAACAACTCTGAAGCATAATCAGTATATAACCATTTTTGTGTGAGGATTTTGATTTCCCACATTTTGTACATTCTTTATGAAAATCAAATGCACAGCTAGCTGACACTTGCTAGATCAATTAAAAATTGACAATATCATCCACAGTATTTGATAGTCATTCAGCCATTGTTAGAATTTGCATTCAGGAAAGTGGTAGTAAGTGCCACAAATCATGCTAATGGATGCTATTGAAATGAATTCCTTTTTTATGATGGACAGGATTTTTTTTTCTATTCCATTTGTCTCCTTCCAAGAGTAAGCTTGAATAGGATCTACATTTTCACTTGCTACATGCAGAGGCATTCTTAATTTTCTCAGATTTCTACACTGCAGCCATTCAGTAGCCTTGCGAAACAAGACATTTGTCGTATTGTCCTTTGTAGCTCATTTCATTGATTTATAGTGTTACAAAACTGTTTTCGGCCTATAAATTTAATTCATAGTGTGGTAGATATACTGTTTTAGCAGATATAGTTAATATTCCTGGTTGGCACTGTAGATCTCTCCCCATTAGAGGTTGGATCAGGATGGTCCTAAAATATTTATAATTTTATTCTTGGCACTATAAACTTTTTCATGCTAATAGTTTCTGGATGCGCTAGACAGCAGTTTGCATAATCACTAGCCAGTATATAAAAATCTTATAAAAGACTGGTACAATTAATGTCAAGACCCTTGAACTACTGAGAGATCTTTGAATGATGAGTGCCTTTGTTTGGATTGTATTATTTTTATTATTTATTATTATTGTGTTGTGTTGCATTGCATTGCACTGCACTGCACTGCACTACACTGCATTGTTTGTGGGGTTCTATTCTGGCTTTAACATTATGATCCTCTATGTGTTGAATGATTTTGCAGTCAGATAACAGACAAACATGTTGTAGACTTGCTTCCAGATTGATGTTCATCACTTTTGACCATTAACATGTTTTTAATTGAGAGAACCGTCAATTCAAAAAAAAAATGTCCTGTATTTGTTTAACTCTAGGTATTGCTCTGCATAACATACACCCCAACGTTTGAGTTGAATGGAAGTTCTGTACTTAAGATTGCTGAAGTGAGTATCCTCTGTCAGTTGGAAATGAAACTTGAGCTGTTTAATAAAACAATGTGCTTCCCGTTAGATTATGGGGGGTGTTCATTCACAATGTTAGATTTATGTCAGTCATGTATCTCTAATGCACATAATTGCTTTGGGAGAATTTGTTATTCCCTCCTCACTCTCTTGAACTCCTCCAAGCAAGCAGCTTCTATTAAAGTTTTTTTAAAAAATACCTAGATACCAAAATGTGACTGCTATTAGTTTTCTGTTTTATATATATTACGATGAAATCATACTTTAGTACTCAGCTGTATAATAAGATAAAAGAAAGAGAGAGGGATGCTAATATGTATGATAGATATCTGGAATAGTGATTCATGTTTAATATAGGTAGTTCTCAACTTACAACATTTCGCTTAATGACCATTCGAAGTTACAACAGCACTGGAAAAAAGTGACTTATGACCATTTTTCACACTTATGACCATTGCAGCATCCCCATGGTCATGTGATTTACATTTGGATGCTTGACACCTGACTCATATTTATGATGATTGCTGTATCCTAGGGCAGTGATAGCTAATCTTTTTGCTATCGCGTGCCAAAAGCGGGAGTAGTGGGGGGATTGCGCACGTGCGGGCCCACACCCATAATTCAGTGCGCCCCGTCCCCCCACACATGCACGCATGACCCCCCCACTCTCCCCTCGCTTTTGGCACGCAATGGCACAGTGGGCCCGGTAGGCCTAGTTTTTGCCCTCCCCAGGCTCCAGAGCCTTTCTAGGAGCCTGGGAAGGTGAAAACAGCCTCCCCTCCACGAGGCCCTCCGGAGGCCTGGAAACAGCAAATTTCCCGACTTCCCGTGGGCCCAGAAGTCCTGAAAATCAGCTGGCCAGCGCGCACATGCGTGCTGGACTGAGGTAGGGCAATGCTTGTGTGCCCACAGATATGGCTCCATGTGCCACCTGTGGCACCCGTGCCATAGGTTCGCCATCACGGTCCTAGGGTCATGTGATCAGCTTTTGCAACCTTCTGACAAGCCAAGTCAATGGGGAAGCCAGATTCACTTAACAGCCATGTGACTGACTTAGAAACTGCAGTGATTCACTTAACAACTATAGAAAGAAAGGTCATAAAACAGGGCAAAGCTCACTTAACAAATGTATCACTTAGCAACAGAAATTTTGGGCTGAATTGTGGTCATAAGTTGAGGACCTCCTATTCATTATCTTCTAACCAGTATAATTGTATTGCTATTACAGCATTGTCTCTTTTTCTTTTTCCCAAACAGGTTTGTATTGAAACTTATATTTCCAGTTATCACCAGCGGAGTATTAATACAGCTGTACGGGCAACCCTCAGCCAGATGTTGAGTGATTTGATTTTACAATTACGGCAAAAACAAGAAAATACAGTGAGTCAGTCAGGCATCTGTAATGGGACTGGTCTTTGCTACTTATGCTTAAGTTAGAGTTGGTGTAATGCTCCAAAAACTGAATTTATAAATAGGTTTTTACAAAATATTAAAGCCTAGCCAAAAAAAAGTCAAGGAATTTTTACAGGCTCTGACATTTTCCTCTGGATCAAGTTTTATCTGAGCTAGACAAATATGGACTTTTTTCTGCTTCAGGAGCAAATTTCTACAAATTGTAAAGTAAGAGATTTGTCACTCTAGAGTAACATTGTGACTTTAGTTTTGTCTGTGTTATTGACAATACATCTATTCTTCCTTGATAGATGACCGAAAACCAAGGAGTTCTTCAAGGTTTCAGGAATTCAGGTATCAGTTAATTAATTTTGACAAAATGATTTATTTATAACTTATATTTATGTAAAATTATGATGTGGTTTCACTTTCACAAAAAAGGCTGGAGGCAGTCAACTTAATACAGGGAGGGAGTTCTTGCTTAATGACCTCAGTCAGGACCGGAATCTTAGTGGTTGAACAAAGCAGTTGTTAAGCAAGACATCAGGTGACTGTTCATGTGACTGTTTTGCTCAAATGATCACAATCCCAACACTTCCAATTGTGGTCATTAAATGGATGGAGTCCTAGGTAGGGAGCACAGGGTTCCTCTGGGAGGATGAGGGAGACCCTGGGAGGTTCCACTCAAGAGCTGAAAACCTTCCCTATTGAAATCCAAGGAGGATTTTCAGCCCCTGAGGCAGAAAGTTGAGGATTACCTGTACTCTGTTTCAATTTCCATCAATTTCTCAGTCAGTGGCAAAAGAGTTTGAGGACAACATTTGAAAGGACATGAACAAAGACATTTCCTGTCTCTGATATATACAGCTTGTGTAATCCAGTTCTGAAAGGGCCACAACCCAGTAGTGGGCTGCGGCCTGGGGGTTGGGGACCCTGCTCCAATATTTAGTTTGTGTGTACTCCTATTTTATATCAGTTTTGTCAAAATACGATTGTATCTTTTGCATGTTGTAGCTTAGACTACCATTTTCATTGGTCAGGGGAGATGGGAAGTATAAGGTAGCCAAGCTGATTGGGAATCATATGAGTTAGATTCTAGCATAATTATAGCATACAAGGCTGCAGTGAATATGAGTAGCTTCTAGCAGTTTCATGTAACTAATGACTGAGCAATTAAAAGGTAGAAATTATGTATACCAAGAAAATTTCAGCTCTTGGTTTTATCTTTTTTTAAAAGGTTTGGCATAGGTTGAAACAGGTCAAATGTCTGTTGATATGGTACATCTGAAATCCCAATAGATTTGTTATGAGTCAGCTCATAATTGTTTCCCGTAGTCTCTATAACTGTATGATATGCTAACATGATCATTAGAAGTGATAGGCTCTACAGAGAAATTTGCAGAATTCACACTCAGTCGATTATGCATTCCAAATAGTCACTTATTTGATTTGTGAGCTGGTAAGATAGAGTGGCTCTAGTTTTTCTTGCAATATAATATCCCAGTCATCCACAACTTCTGTGTGATGAGTCCTGTTGCCAAGGTTGAAGATATTCCATGTGCCTAATTTTGATGTAGTATATATCTGAAAAGGGACGTGGGGGCTCAGTGGCTAAGACGTTTAGCTTGTCGATCAAAAAGTTGGCAGTTCAGCAGTTCGAATCCCTAGTGCTGCGTAACGGGATGAGCTTCCGTTATTTGTCCCAGCTTCTGCCAACCTAGCAGTTCAGAAGCACGTAAAAATGCAAATAGAAAACTAGGGACCACCTTTGGTGGGAAGGTAACAGCGTTCCGTGCACCTTTGGCGTTTAGCCACATGACCATGGAGACGTTTTTGGACAGTGCTGGCTCTTCGGCTTTGAAATGGAGATGAGCACCACCCCTAGAGTCGGGAACGACTAGCACATATGTGCGAGGGGAACCTTTACCTTTACCTTTATATAACTGAAGCTGCTAATACATGTCTTTTATTTACTTTGGAGATTCCACCACTGAATCATTCTGTGATGATGTTGTCTCTGTCTTCACGGTCTTTTGTGAAAAACTTCAGACAGCAATCAGGTAAGTGAGTGTTTCTAAATATAAATGGAGTCCTGTTCTTGGTTGGGTTCCTTATCTGTCTTATTGAATCAAGTTTAAATTTGTACTAGTTAATGATTGATTTGACAAGCATAACACTAGCCTGACGATAGAGGCTGCCACAAAAAAGAGGGAGTCAAGCTATTCTCCAAAGCACCTGAGGGTAGGACAAGAAGCAATGGGTGAAAACTAATTAAGGAGAGAAGCAACTTAGAACCAAGGAGAAATTTTCTGACAGTTAGAACAATTAATCAGTGGAACAACATGCCTCCAGAAGTTGTGAATGCTCCAACACTGGAAGTTTTTAAAGAAGAGATTAGGTAACCATTTGTCTGAAGTGGTGTAGGGTTTCCTACCTAACCAGGGGGTTGGACTAGAAGACCTCCAAGGTCCCTTCCAACTCTGTTATTCTAAGAGAAGTACCTGGAAATTCTAAGAGATATTCAGAGCCATAGATATTTCCTGTATCCAGCACACACTCTGTTCCTAAACACCTACATCCTATGTTTTCCATCAGCAGTAAAACTATGAAAAACAAGTTTTTTATATATCGGCATAATGCAGAACATATTACAAAAAACAAGTGCTGTAATTTTTCAGTGGCAGATAGTTGCTCTGCCATGTGCAATCTTTCAGGCAGATCCTTGCAGTATTAGTTTTGATTTTGTTCATGTACTCCCCGTTTGGGATGTTAATTTCTATTGTGTTTTGAATATTTAAAAGAGTAGCCCTCATTTTTGCATTGTTACCATGAAGAGTGCTCTGTAATATAAGCCGTTAGCAGTAAACAAACTTCCTTATGTGATAGAATACATTTTGGCAAATTAGTTCTTGATGTGCTACATTGTAGTACATGAACTTCATTGTAGAAAATTAATTGTATATTGGATTGGACAACTACAGATTATGCAGTTGGAGGAACAGACAATTATTGCCCCCAGTAATTATTATTATAATTTATGTAATAGTATGTAAATTTCTATAAATTTAGGAACTGTAATTACTTGTGCACTTAAATAACTATAATTATTTGCAAGTTATATCTAATTACTTTTTAATTGCATGCAATGTATTAGAGAAGTTAATTGCATTGATGGGTATGTTTTTAATGATTTCGACAGTGCTTTTGTAAGTGTGGTTTATTATTATCGTCTATTATTTCTTTATTACAATAAATAACATCCCATCTTTTAAGAATACTCAAAAAACATCTTATGATAAATATGAACAACTGTAAAGTCTCAGCAGTGAGAGTATCTGCTTGACTATGTTTGAGAATACAAGATAAGCAGGATTGAAGGATCTCAAGGACTTGCAAAGGTTTTAAGTTAAACAGGGACGTGGAAAAAAAATCACCTTGAATAAAGAGGGTCACAAAATCATTTTATATATTGTAGCTTCAAAAACTACATTGATGACTCTATGGATTCACCAGGACTTGATTTACTTTACTTAAATAAAAACTGAAAAATAAATACAAAAAAGAAGGCAACTCCTATGATCCCACTGTTAGTAGTAAAAGCTTTCTGGGAGTTGGAGAGTCTAGGTGGGAAGACCAGATAATTTCTAGAATGCTGATGGAGATAACCATTGAAGTGGCCTCTTTCAAGCATGGCCGTTAAACCATCATTGCTTAACATAGAAATCTGGTCTGTTCTGGTCTTAATACTATAAGTCTCTGATTATTTCCCTGTTAGAATCCTATAACATCCTCTAGAACCGTGATGGCGAACCTATGACATGCGTGCCACATGTGGCAGGTGGAGCCATATCTGTGGGCATGCAAGCTTTGCCCTAGTTCAGCTCCAGTGCGTATGCGCGCGCCAGCCAGCTGATTTTCTAGCCTTCTGGGCCCACCGGAAGTCAGGAAATGGGCTGTTTCTAGCCTCTGGAAGGCCTCCGGCAGGGTGGGGAAGGCTGTTTTCGCCCTTCCCAGGCTCCAAGAAACCTCTGGAGCCTGGGGAGGGCGAAAAACGGGCCTACCGGGCCCACCGTGCCATTGCGTGCCAAAAGTGGGGGGAGTGTGAGGGGGCGGGCGTGCATGCATGCACGGGGGACGGGGTGCATTGAATTATGGGTGTGGGCACACGCACGGGTGACCCCCCCACACTTGCCTCGCTTTTGGCACGCAACAGCAAAAAGGTTAGCCATCACTGCTCTAGAATCACTCAACCAGCATGTGTAGCAGAATTTAAGAAAAGGAGATTATCTGCCAGTAAATGTAGAGAAAATTTTAAAAATCCTGGAGATCAGTAAGGAAAGAAAAAGCATTGAAATTCTAAGTGAGACTCCAAAGCATAAACAGAAACTAAACATTTTCGTTTTTCTTTTTCTAAGGGTACCAACCAAGAACACGGGAGGGTATTGTGGAGGCAGTATTTCCCTTTTTCTTTTCTCCCCTTGAGAATGAGCAATCTTGAGCAGGAAGCAATATCCATGCCCCATATCTTAAATAGAAAGCCTAAATCCAGCCAGCTCTGTTTTCCTTCAGGGCTGTGCATGTAGAATAATTTATTATGCTCTTCTCCTGTAGTGCTTCATTTCTTCTAATTGCCATCTCATAGGAAATCTCTCTCTCTGTCTGTCTCCTTATATATGATTCTCATACATTACTGATACTGTATCATTGGGATAGTACACCTTGGCAGATTGTTTGAAGAAGAGAACCATGCGTTTGTCTGCTTCCCAAGTAGCTAGATGAGAAACAAGCATAGAGAAATGTATCTTAAAATATTAACAACTCTTTAGGCATGCATTATTATGCCTCCATATCTAAACAAGGTATGTATTTGCAAGTTTGCAGTTTAGATTTCTTTAAATTAATGTTCAAAACATAATGTGTTTGTGCTCGGAGACATATGGATGAAGCAAGGCATCAAGCAAAGAGAGATTTCCATTTCTCCAACCATACCATCGTCTTTAAAAAAGAAAAAAACACAAGGCAGTGAAATTCACCAAAGGCAGTAAGATAGAGGTTTTCTTCATTATTTTCTACTTGTATAGTATCTGACTAGATTGTTATTATCTCTATTCTCTCTTGCTGGGTTATTTGTGGGTAAAGTGAAATGGTTGAGCAGAAGAAAAATTAGAGAAGATTAATATGCTTCATAATTTGGTACTTGCGTATAGACCCCTAGTGACTTAAATCAAAATACTTAAAATGATTATTTCCTGGAGTACTAAATTGCCTGGCTGGTGAAGGCCCTTCTTGTGATCACATGGGGCAGTGATATAAAACAGAGACTTCCCAGTCACACCATTTCATATAAAATTCCCTCATTAGGGAACTCTAATTAGCCTCACATTGCTGCCTTTTAATGATAAATAAAATGTTCATTGCAACTGGAACCTTTTCATTTTACTTGTATATGTATACCATGTTGGCGCAGTGTTTAGAATGAAGTAATGCAGTCTACTTCTGCTGACTGCCGGCTGCCAGCAATTTGGCAGTTCAATTCTCACCAGCTCAAGGTTGACTCAGCCTTCCATCCTTCCGAGGTCTGTAAAATGAGGACCCAGATTGTTGGGGGCAATGTGCTGACTCTGTAAACCGCTTAGAGAGGGCTGTAAAGCCCTGTGAAGCAGTATAAAAGTCTAAATGCTGTCGCTGTATTTTTATTTGGGCAGATATATTGGGATATATTGATAATAATAATAGCAACCTGGCAAAAATGTCTCAGCCCTTAAGGAAGGAGTCATGCATACAAGCAGTCTTCTGTACACAAAATATAGAGCCACACATATGAGTGGGTGCCATGTTCATAATAGTAAGATATTCACCCAGCATTCAGTAAATGGGCAGGATATATGCAATAACGCAAATACCCTTCCAAAACTATACAGTGAGGATATATAAACTAATTGCCTATGATTAGAACATGATTGAGTTCACAGACGTAACTTGCAGCACCCTAGCCACATTTCTGCATACAGAAGTAGTCCTTGATTTACGACCACAATTGAGTCCAAAATTTCTGTTGCTGAGTGAGACATTTGTAAAGTGAATTTTTTTCCCCATTTTACGAGCTTTCTCACCACAGTGGTTAAGTGAATCCCTGCAATTGTTAAGCTAGTATCATGGTTGTTAAGTGAATCTGGCTTCCCCCATTGACTTTGTTTGTCAGAAGGTCACAAAAGGTAATCAAATGATCCTGAGTCATCATAAATAGGAGTCGGTTGCCAAGAATCTGAATTCTGATCACGTGACATGAGGATGCTGCAATGGTTGTACAGTAGTGGCCAAAATTGTGGAAACCTTTTGGGAAAAGTATTTTCTAAAACTAGCTAATAACACCACTTTTTTTGGAGTAGTACCATAAAAGTATATATCAATGGAAAGATAATTTAATCAAGAATGTAATGCAGTAACTTTTATGAAGGATTTGCTATTAGAATAGCAGTTACAGTATAAAGAAGAAAAGTGAAACACGTAGAAAAAACGAGATATACAAAAATTATCACCATAGAAAAAACAAGATACACTGTATACAAAAATTATCACCATGTCAGTTAATACTTAGTTGGGTAACCTTTAGCATGGATTACGGCCTTACAATGTCTTCCCATAGAGTGAACCAAGTCTTTTAGTTCTGCAGCTGTTATAATGTGAAACCAAGATTGAATGATTGCTTCTATTAACTGGGTTTTATTGCTGGGTCGCTTCGGACTAACAAGTTTCTTTAGACGGCTCCATAGATTTTCAATTGGATTAATATCTGGGCAATTCCCAGGCCATTCCAGCAGTGGAATATGATTGTCTTGAAACTCCAAAAAAAAAAAAGTGGTGTTATTAGCCATCAAACCTCAAAGATACACTTTTCCCAAAAGGTTTCCACAATTTTCGCCACTACTGTAAGTGTGAAAAATGGTCATAAGTCACTTTTTTCAGTCCTGTGATAACTGAATGGTCATTAAATGAACTGTTGTAAATCAAGGACTTCTTGTACCTCTTTCTTACTGAAATGTCAGCCTTACACTAGACAGGAAATATGATCAGATTAGCAAATTCTATTTTGTTGTAAGATTACATTAATAGAATCTCACAGACCTGGAAGTACAATTCTCCTACCGTCTCCTTTACTTCTGAGAAATTAGGGAGGGTCTTTTTTGAGCCACTTCCCCCACCCAAAATCCAGCTGCAGGCTATTGTGTTTCTCATCTGACCATTCCCTAGACCACGGGTGACAAACTCGCGGCAGCATGTTGCAGTCACGTGATGTTTTTCCCATTTGCAGAGCTCGGGGGGGCATGGCCTGCCCGTGACACATCTGGCCCACCAGTTTGACACCCCTGCACCTCGAAAGTGCCTCTGGGCCTAGTTTCTGAAAGTTATTCCCACAATATTATTATATCAAATCAGTTGAAGGAACATGTCCTTTTTATTGCACCCAAATACTTAACTGCTAAGTTTGTGAATATTTTCAGCAATGTTTCTTCTTTCATTTTCACAAGTAACAGCACTAGGTATAGTTTTGACCCCCATAATTGCATACAGCTGCTTTTTCTTACCATGCCCTTTGAGAGGACTTCTTTTTCTCTGGCTCATGTGAAAGTATGTAGCACTTGCTTTTTTCATTATTTCTGTGGAAGTGAACCTGCTATGCTTTGTGCTTCCATTTTTCAGTGAGAATCAGCAGTTGCAGCTTCTCTACCTCGAATGCATTCTTTCCATGCTGAATAGCTTCTCTTCTGGTATGCACCACCATAAAGGATTCACTGACCTCATCTGGTAAGTAGATGTGCTTTGAATGATGCCAGGAACAAAGTTTCAGCCTTGTAGAAATCTTCTTTGGCCTGTATATTTGTGCTGAAGTAATACCTGCCTAAGGACGCGGTGGCTCAGTGGCTAAGACACTGAGCTTGTCGATCGAAAGGTTGTCAGTTCAGCATTCAAATCTCTAGTGCCGCATAATGGGGTGAGCTCCTATTACTTGTCCCAGCTTCTGCCAACCTAGCAGTTCGAAAGCACGTAAAAAATGCAAGTAGAAAAATAGGGACCACCTTTGGTGGAAAGATAACAGCACTCCATGCGCCTTTGGCATTTAATCATGCCGGCCACATGACCATGGAGACATCTTCGGACAGCGCTGGCTCTTCGGCTTTGAAACAGAGATGAGTACTGCCCCCTAGAGTCGGGAACGACTAGCACATATGTGCGAGGGGAACTTTACCTTTAATATCTGTTTATATTAAAAGAGGGGGGAAAATACTTAGGGAATTCAATCAAAGTGAGTCTGAAATTGCTTTGTGACCAACAGTCTTTTGGTCTTTTATGCTGCACATCAGAAGCCACATCTGTCTTTCAGAAGAATACCAGTTAGAAACAATGCTTCTCCCCATTGAAACTGAAGTAGAGAAAACTGGGATCTTACACTAAAGTTGGATTTCATGAATGAACTTGTGTCTTTCACAGTGGGAGGACTTAATGCAAACCTCTTTCTCTTAACCAGGAGTGAAAGAGTTATTAGAGAGCACGCAAATTGAATGGAGTGAACAATTGCATTGATATCTTCTTGTTTTTTCTCACTGAGCTCAAGAGGGTATATATGGGCATCTTAATTTACCCCTATAATCCTGTGAGGTATGTTGAGTTAAGAAAGAATAACCAGTCCATAATCCCCTGGTCAATCTTTTGGTCAAGAAAAGATTTGAACTGGGATCGGTCCTTCTCCAGTACTTCAGTGCTACAACCAGGGACTTTACAGCACTCTGGAGTAGGCAAGGACATCAGGCAATGCTCATGTAGCACCCAGTTGCAACTCGTCAGCTGCAGCTGTTTCTTTTCTGAGAATCGTATGTCTATCATCTATGGCTGGTAGCTTTCTCTAATGCTCATATGCTGAAGAAAATAAACCTCACAAGGGGTTCAGAAAATTGATGAAAATTTGCATTAGAATATTGCTTTTAAAGAAGACAGGGTATCATCTGGACAAAATAAATATTAATATGCCTACAGAGAATGTCATTTCCATTCCCATGGAGCTATAGAATGATTTGGAACATCCAAGAAGAAACAGAGTAAACAGCAGAAAAGTTTTTCAAGAAGATCTCAGAATAGCTCATAGATTGAACAAGTACTTGAATATAAGTAGATGAAAGGTAAATTTGTTGTTTTAGTTCCTGGCCTGAACTCCCTTTGTGCACTGAAGTTTGGAAACTTCTGCTGGCCTGATCTCCCCTTGTTTGCTGGGTGGAAGGGCTGAAAGACTATGGGGATCTCGAAGAGCAAGAAACAGAGCTCAAGGGGTGGGCGTAGCCTTGGGAGACTGGGGCAGGTGGCCCTGAACCTGTGTAGGCCTCCAAGGGCCTCCTCTATCCCTGAGGCACCGAGTGCTCCATTTAACAAACATTTGTATTCATTTAAGGTTTGCATCAAGGGATGGGCGCATTAAGTGAGGCCATTTTGTTTAATAGCTGTCCTGACATGCAACCATAATGGGCAGGCTCCATATCTCAAGGACTATCTGTAATCTTTTTTTTCCCCCTAGGTCAGCATTTACTCACATTCCATACCTAAAGTATATGAGTCTAATGTATAGGGACAAAAATCAGTCAAAGACCAGTGCAAATTAAGGCACATACATGAAGGGGGATAAAGGGTTGGTGGACTAAATACCAAAGCCTTAATTCTGTTTCTAAGTGACTCATTCTGTGATTCAGTTATTTTTGATTATTCATTTTTTTCGATAGAACTGTACTTTCTTTTCCAACATAACTATTTTAACTAACTCTTCAGACACTGTATCATTCACTCCTTTTCCCACACTATTTCTTTAATTTATTTTTTCCAGGAAGCAGCTGTGTCCAGCCCTGATAGTAATCTTGGGCAATCCGCTTCATGACAAAACGATCACATCTGCTCACAGTAACACCAGTCATGAAGCCGATTCTCCTTCTTCCGGAGTCTCTGACCACGGCCGAGGATCAGGCTGCTCTACAACTGCCCCTGCCCTTAGTAGTCCTGTTGCACGGACTATCTACTACATTGCAGCGGAGCTTGTTCGGTTGGTGGGCTCAGTGGAGTCCATGAAGCCAGTTCTGCAATCTCTCTACCATCGGATGCTTCTGTATCCTCCACCCCAGCACCGAGTAGAAGCTATCAAGATCATGAAAGAGGTGAATTTACACTCCCTGGTTGATTTTTAAATTTGCCAACTTAAATTGCTATTAAATTACAAGTTGCAAACTCTTGGGAATATTGGAATATTCTTTATTGACCAAGTGTGATTAGACACACAAGAAATTTGTCTCTGGTGCATAAGCTCTCAGTGTACATACAAACATCAGAGTGATAAGTCATAGATCATAAATCATAAAATACAATGATAAAAGATACAAACAATGAGTAATAAATCATAAAATAGTAATAGGAGAAGGTAGTAGGGAAGATGAGAAGGATAAAAGCAATTCAGCCCTACTACATGGGTAAATAAGCATAAGACAGTGCTGTGGGAATTCTGTACTTAACAGAGTGATGGCATGGAGGGAAAAATTATCTTTGTGTCTAGTTGTTTCGGCATGCAACCTTATGCCTTTGTCTTACCTCTTTGTCTTATCCTATTTGTTTGGATGTGGTGGCTCAGTGGCTAAGACACTGAGCTTGTCGATCGAAAGAGCGGCAGTTTAGCAGTTCGAATCCCTAGTGCCACGTAATGGGGTGAGCTCCCATTACTTGTCCCAGCTTTTGCCAACCTAGCAGTTCGGAAGCACGTAAAAAATGCAAATAGAAAAATAGGGACCACCTTTGGTGGGAAGGTAACAGTGTTCCGTGCGCCTTTGGCATTTAGTCATGCCGGCCACATGACCACGGAGACGTCTTTGGACAGCGCTGGCTCTTCGGCTTTGTAACGGAGATGAGCACCGCCCTCAGAGTTGGGAATGACTAGCACAGATGTGCGAGGGGAACTTTTACCTTTACCTTATGTGTTTGTCTTCAATAATAAAATTTAGAAAACAATACAGTGATAAAAGAAGCTGTTGTTATACAATCAATAATAATGTTCTTCTTTGCAAGAATACCTGAATAAATTTTGACAACTGACAAGTGATTTCAAGATTAACTGGAAAAAGTTTATTTCTTTATTAAATTTATATGCTGCCCATCTCAAGGTGACTTTAAAATAGTGTATTTATTGCATGTTGCTAAATTGCATTATATTTAGATACTTGGAAGTCCTCGGCGGCTTTGTGATTTAGCAGGTCCCTGCTCCACAGAACCAGAATCAAGAAAGAGATCCATTTCAAAAAGAAAATCCCATCTGGACCTTCTTAAACTGTATGTACCCCATTGTTTTACAATATTTGATAACTGGATTGCTTGAACAAAATATTTTCTTCTTTGACAGTATTTCATTCAGTAGGCTTTCTATCATTCTAATTAGGAATCTTCTTCTTCAACTGAGAGTACAGACCTAAAAGGCTAAGATAAATAATTCTAAAATGAGCAAAATGTCTAATGGAGATTCCAGGTCATGTTTGTCCCAAAGTTGCTTTTTAAAAATACAACTGGACTTTCTTTGTTTTTTCCTTGAATATGTTTTGCTTCTCATCCAAGAAGCTTCTTCAGTTCAGAATAAAGACCTTTGGGTCTAAAATATGCAGGTGTGCATCATAGATATTCTGACACAACAGGAAAAAAATGTAATTACAACATCTGTAGGATTTCTCCTTTGGAATACAATCAATGACTGGAATACAATCAAAGGCAAGAATTTGCTTTATCAGATGATGCCTTTGTTAATTAATCACATGGATCCAGTTAATCAACTGTTTGCTCATTACCAAAGAGATGAAACCATTCCTCTTTTTTACAGTATAAATTCTTTCCATTGTATAATTGACTTAGGAGGCATAACCAGGGGTGGGCTTCAAAAATTTTAGCAAGGGGTTCTCTGCCCGGTTGCTGGGTGGGCGTGGCCATGGTGGGCATGGCCTAGTTGGCTTCTAGCACCGGGGGGGGGGCATTTTTGCCCTCCCTGGGCTCCGGAGGCTTTCCTCAAGCCTCCGGGAGGGCAAAAACGGCCTCCCCAGGCTCCAAAGTCCCTCTGGAGGCTGGAAACGAGCCCATTTCCGGCTTTCCCAAACTTCCAGTAGGCCTGTTTTTTGCCCTCCCCGCTTACCTGCATCCAAGAAAGGCTGTGCGAGGACTCCTGGGAGGGGCGGGGTGGGATGGGAGGGGATGGGAAGGGCCAGCCAGGAGTGGGATTTGGGGGTTCTCCGAATTGCACAGAATCTTAGCTAGAGGTTGTCCCAAACCCCTGCGAACCCCCAGCAGCCCACCCCTGGGCATAATAGTAAAGAGTGTCTTATCTTTCTTCACATTGTAGAATCTTGGATGGGATGACTGAAGCCTGCATAAAAGGTGGCATTGAAGCCTGCTACGCCTCAGTGTCCTGTGCCTGTGCCCTGCTTGGAACTCTGGATGAGTTAAGTCAAGGAAAGGGCCTTGATCAGGAGCAAGTGCATCTGCTTCTCCGACGGCTGGACGAGTTAAAAGAAGGGCCAGAGACCAGTAGAGATTCCATGGAGATCAATGATGCTGATTTTAGGTGGCAAAGACGTATCCTGTCATCAGAACATACCCCCTGGGAGCCAGGCCATGAAAAGAGTCCTGACATTAGCATTAGTGTTACCACAGATACTGGTCAGACAACCCTAGAAGGAGATATGGGACAGACGACACCAGATTCTGACATTCGTAAAAATTCTTTGCAATCCCCAGCTGGACAAGCAGGCAAAGAAATTCATTATAAAGAGCCAGAATCGGAAACAATTGACCAACCGGATGTAGTTCAACGGAGCCATAATGTTGTCTATCCAGATATAACTAATTTCCTTTCTGTTGATTGCAAGGCCCGTTCGTGTGGATCTAGATACAGCGAGAGTAATTTCAGTGTTGAAGACCAGGATCTTTCCAGAACTGAATTTGATTCATGTGATCAATATTCCATGGCAGCAGAAAAAGACTCTGGAAGGTCAGATGTGTCTGATATAGGTTCGGATAACTGTTCTTTAGCTGATGAAGAACAGACGCCACGAGATTGTCCTGGTCACAAGTCTTTACGAACTGCTGCCCTTTCGTTGAAGCTACTTAAGAACCAGGAAGCAGATCAGCAGAGTGCCAGATTGTTTATTCAGTCTCTTGAAGCTCTCCTTCCTCATCTTATAGCTTTTGCTACAGTAGAAGAGGTGGATTCGGCTCTCCAGAACTTTTCTTCAACTTTTTGTACAGGTTTGTAAGCTGCTCGCTTACTTTCCCATTAATGTTCTATTATTGTATTAGAACAGGGGTGTCAAACTCAAGGCCTGTGGGCCGGATGCGGCCCACGGGGTACTTAAATCTGGCCCGTGGGGCCTGCCTCTGGCACCCAAAATGGGGCACGGGGTGACTGTGAGCCTACTTACCTACTAACCTACCGGTTTCTCCGTGTGTGTGTTTGTGTGTGTGTGTGTGTCTTTTTACTTTAACTAAGGAAACATCTGACTCCTTGTGGACTTCTTTTTTAGGAAAAACCTATGAATGAGAGGTTATTCCAGTGTTTTAATTGTCCTAAAAATCCATTTAATACTTATTTTTTTGCATAACCAAATCTGATTCAGCTATAGGTAGGTAGTATTCGAAGTCAGTACAATTATTTATTTTGATTTTATTCATCGTATTGGTTTTTAGAGCTTCTTCAAAACTCAACAGGGATTCCAGTGGTAGTGGGGGATTGGTTGAGAGAAACAGGGCCATATCTAAAATTACCCAGAAAACTATCATTAAACCAAAGTTACCCAATGCAGCACTGTAGCCATTACTCCAACCATGTTATTGTTTACTAGGTGGTTTCAACAGTGTAAGTTATCATTATTTTCTACGAATTAAAAATGACTGATGCTTAGTTCTTGTGCATAATTCCCATCTCTCTGTATTTATTAGACATGATGCTTTCTCCAGGAATTGAAGGGAGTGTCAGCTTTAACTTCCAGAACCTGATGAACGCAGATAGCCTCTATGCAGTCTCTCACTACATACTCCTGCTCAACCTGAAGCTGTCAAACACAGAATACTATCGGAAGAAACCTGCCCAGTCCCCTGTATTATTGGTGAGGTCAAAGCCTGCTTTGACCCCTACAGCGATGAACATTTTGCACTTGGCCACATCCCGTTCTATAAATCTCCAGTTCAGTGATCAGATTTAACCTTTCTTCGGCTCATGAGTGTGAACAGAATAATCACAGTTGCTGTATCAGAGATCAGTTACTGAAACACAGAACATAGCTGCATGAATTTGAAGAAGAGGGATGCATGAAATACCGCAGAGATTAAGATGTCTATTTCCTCTGTTTCAGTGATTTAGGGTTTAGATTTTTAAACACCCTTTTGAAAAGCATTACTCAGAAAACAAATCCACAATTAAAAATGAATGCAATCTTTCCCTCCTGATTTAAACGCAGGGAAAGGGACATTAAGGCCATTCCTTTTTTGATGTACACCCGTTCATAGTGCCCTCAGTTCAGTCAAACACTAAATTGCTAAGAAAGTTAAAGAAAACGAAATAATTGTTCAGTGAGATAAAATGAAAGAGGGGAGCACACAAACCTAAGACTCAGAGTGCTCATGTATAATTCGATATTGCCTCAAAATGGAGAGAGAGAGAGAGGGAGGAAGGGAGAGAGGGGGAAAGAGAGAGAGAGATGCTGAGGCACCTTTTGTAAACATAGCAATGCTTTTATCTCTGTTGTGTGCTGTATGTCACATTTGTATGTGTAAAATTCCTTAAGAAACAATACAACTAGCTGTATCTTACTGACTAAATGAACGCTCTTTCATTCTGCAGAAGGAATTCATGAAACAGGTCCAATCCAGTGGACTATTGATGGTATTTTCTCAGGCCTGGGTCGAAGAACTTTACCATCAAGTATTGGAGAAAAATCTTCTGGGGGAAGCTGGTTATTGGGGAAATCCTGAAGAGCATAGCCTTCCACTCATCACTATGCTGACAGGTTGGTTCCATAACAGTGTTGCCCTTTGAGTCCTATATAAAAAGAGGCATGTGTGCTAACATGAACATAAGTGCATTTATCCCAGTGTTTAATATATTAAATATTATGGGGATCCATTTGATATTGCCTCCTTTTCCAAAAATAATTGGTGGCTGAGCTATTAGGCTTAATTATTTCAAGTTGATCTTCATGACTTTACCAGTGCTGCTGAGATGAAAGAAAGAATAAGAGTGATGCATCACAGATGATTTATACAGATGTTTTCCTTTGCAGACATTGATGGCTTGGGAAGCAGTGCAATAGGTGGGCAGCTGATGGCTTCGGCTTCCAAACAATCTCCTCTATCCCAGACCTGGAAACCAGATGATACATTGATGGCAGGTGAAGAGATCTGCACAGTGAGCAGCACGGCTCACATGTCATATATCAGTGTCATAGTTTAGGCTAGAGATTTAGTTGTTGATTGAAAAGGAAATGTTTCCTTTTCAGTGTCTTCTATATCTGCCTGTGTGATACAAATCTCATTTAAAATCTGGTTCCAGCTTTTACCTGTGACAATGAACTATGTTTTTTTTTTCTTCCATGTGGGGCATTTCACAAACATCATTAATGTTATGGTTCATATTGTGGGGGGAAAATGTGTGCTTAATTTTGGAATAATTCACATCCTTTGAAATAATTTATCATTTTCTTTCTGTTTCTTTCTCAACCTTGGCCTCACTTTGTCCTTGTCTTATGAAAATCTCCTCTGCCCTTCTATTAGCTCCAAGGGAGGGGATATGATCCCATAAACATCTGTGAAAGTTATTTTTCTGGACTAATGTCAATATGATGGAGAGAATTTCCATCAGGATCATGATTGGAGGAAATTACCGTTCCCCTCCCATCCCTAGATGTAACTTCTGATTAAATATTTAGCATAGTTAGAATCAGTGGTAAAATCCAAATTTTTTTACTACCGGTTCTGTGGGCGTGGCTTGGTGGGCGTGGCAGGGGAAGGATACTGCAAAATCCCCATTCCTTCCCCACTCTTGGGGATATTGGCAGGGGAAGGATATTGCAAAATCTCCATTCCCACCCCACTCTGGGCCCGCCAGAGTTGGTATTTGCCAGTTCTCCGAACTACTCAAAATTTCCGCTACCGGTTCTCCAGAACCTGTGAGAACCTGCTGGATTTCACCCCTGGTTAGAATAATTCCTAAGACTGTCTTTCATTTTTCTTTGCTTCAGGAGTTGCTTTCGCCCGATATCTTCTAATTGGTTGCTGGAAGAATTTGATTGATACCTTATCAACACCTCTGACTGGCCGCATGGCAGGGAGCTCCAAAGGATTAGCATTCATTCTTGGGGCTGAAGGCATCAAGGAGCAGAACCAAAAGGAGAAGGATGCCATCTGCATGAGTTTAGATGGGCTAAGGAAGGCAGCTCGGCTCAGTTGTGCTTTAGGTAGACTGTATTCATTGGCATAGTTTTCATTTTTAGACAAATCTGTGTACTCTTTCAGTATCCAATAAGGAAGCTTCAACAAAGGAGAATAATAAGCTTTGTGATTTTTCTCCTTCTTGGTTACCAGATGTTTAGCAAATGCATGGTTAATGGCTCCTGGAATGAACTATAATTCATCAGATGTTTTCCTCCTGATCGTAGGAGTTGCTGCTAATTGTGCATCAGCCCTTGCTCAGATGGCAGCTGCCTCATGTGTTCAAGAGGAGAAAGAGGAAAGAGATGCCCAAGAGCCCATTGATACCATTGCTCAAGGTACGACTTCTCAGATGCTCACTGGCTCTCCATCAAGATATTCATGATCTCCGTATTGCTCATTTTTTACCCCCTTACTGCGGGCTAGTATCTTCTGCAAGATCAAGAATGCTTTCTTCAAGCAAAGAAAGAAAAGCTTTTACAGATTTAAAATGGGCAGAATCCTATTGCATAAAACAAGAATAGAAATTTTATATATACAGTCCCTTTAGAAATAGATTTTATTATGGCGTAGTATTGTCACAATAGGTTACAATGTGCAGTTGACTTTTCCAATTGTGAAAAGGCTTAGCAGGGTCGGATCCCATTCATACTTGATGGGAGATAATCTCAGACTATTAAATTTGACTCAGTTGGGAAAAAAAAGATTCCCAGAGTAGATGATGGCAGACTACTTCTGTACATTGTCAAGAAAATAATATGAATGTATCAAAGTAATAAACATAAGTGGAACATGACTCAAGGGAGACTTTTATTTTATCCCCCATAAGGTTTGACTGGAGTGGCAACCAAGAATCCTATAAATAAAGTAACTAACTATAGCTGGTAGTACAGGAGTGGGTTCTACTTACCTTTACTACCGGTTCGCAGTGGGGCTGCGCACACTCTTCTGCACATGCACAGAAGCGTTCTGATGACATTGGGGTCGGTGGGTGGAGCCTCTCGCCAGTTTTACTACCGGTTCTATAGAACCGGTGCGAACCGGGGGCAACCCACCACTGTGGTGGTATACAAGTGTGAGATTATTTCCTATCTACTGTTGTTTTCAGGCCCATTTTACTTCTTTGTAATAGACACAAATATACAGAAGGGGAAATGGATTTGAACCTTCTGATTCTGCCCAACTTGTGAGTTCAAGTTGTTTTTGGTCCACATACTTGCACACACACTTGCTGGCTATCAGAAAAATTGCCCATTTAACTTGTCTCCATTCAACATTTTTTTTTTACCTTTTCTGTTGAATATTTGAAGGTTGGGAACAGTGCCAATGGGACTGTTTCCTTCCTTTCCTCTCCATGGCTTAATGTAGGATGGGGCAATGTGTTTGTTTGTTTTTAAACTGGAACTTCTTTTTCTTCTGCATGGGGTCTTGGGTGATGACACTGGAATGGGAAAACAGTTTTCCTTAAACATTCCACCACCTAACGGCAACCATTTTGACTCTTCACTTACAAAGAAGGGAAAAAAAATAGCTCAATTGAGAGGGGGGAGTGGTGCTGCCATACTCTCCACATATTAAATACCTCCAATCCACCACAACAAAATTAAGAAATTACATTTTTAACCCACCCACCCCACTCTGGGTCCTTCAGGGGCCCATCTCAGACCATTTTTGCTTTAATTTGCTGAAAAGTTATAAAAAGGCTCCGGGGTATTTATATATTGCACTGAAACTCAATAGGCTTTTAAAAGATATTCTTTTCTGTCTGAATATATAATGATACAGTAAAACAGAAAGTGGAGCAGAAACTGGAGCAGATGGGGAAGGCGCAAGGTGTCTGCCTCCACACCGCTCATGTTTTATGCATGGATGCTGTTCTCGCTGTGGGATTGGAGATGGGAAGCCACAATCCAGACTGTTGGCCTCACGTGTTTAGGTAAGGAAACTCTTTGGTTGAGTCAATTTAGACTGTAATGTTTAAATTGCTTACAGACAGCTTTCTCCAAAATGAACTTGATATCTCGCAGATTGCTTAAGTTATTATCAGCTGCTTTGCTGTAATTATTCTGACTCCTTTAAATAACACAAGATATTATCCGTCCCTTTATTTAAAAAAAAAAAAAGCTTTATGGAAGGTTTTGTAGTAATTAAGCAGGAATGCAATATTGCGTTTTTATATTTTGCTCTATGCATTTCAGAATTTGCAGATTTTACTCTACATAACTGCAATTTCTGAATTCCTTTTCCTATAGCTGTTGCTGCCAGGAGCCCTGATTCTCATCTCACATAAAGGTTTTAAGAGTTCTTCATGTACTTGCCAATCCCCACAGTTTAAAGCCCTTTGTCTAACTCAGGGGTGTCAAACTCACAGCATCACGTTGTCACCACATGACCTATTGCGAATTTTCCCCCCCTTTGCTAAACCGGGGATGGAGGTAGCCAGTGTGTGACACATCTGGCCTTCGGGCCACGAATTTGACACCCCTGGTCTAACTCCAATCCTTAAACTTCACTTACCAGACAGCTGCACAGATGACCACAAGATGGCGGCTACAATATACATAAACCCAATGTTTTTTGCTGTCACCTAGTGCTCAACAAGTGAAACAGTGTTCCATAGTTTTAAGGAGTTTTGTTTTTGTTTGAAGTCAATCACTAAATAATAAAAAAGGGGAAATGCAATATATGGAGTAACCAGGGTATTATGTATACCAATTGGAGGAGATTTTTAACATGGTGGATGATGTTGACTAGGACTAGAATTTCAGCTGAGAAACCGTCAATCATGGGCCTCAGAATATTGCGTTTTTAAAGCCGTATGTATCCCAGTTGAACATAAGAGTACAGTAATATTACTGGATGCAGTAATATTTAGAGCAGCATAGTTTCCTGCTAGCTCTGGAACCAGAAAGGAGGAGGGGTGAATGTGATTTGTGTTTATCACCTCAGAAGCCTTCAGTATTAATGCTGTATCATTCACTAGCATAAGACCTGGGCATTTTACGGCCCTTCAGTTGTCCCTGTCTGACCCATGGCAGTGTCTCCAGTGGGGGGGCGGGGGTGGAGGGAATTGGCAGGGTGCAGGGCAGCAGCTCTCCACAAAAGTCCCAGTTTCTCATGTGACCCCTTGGGCAAATTAAATGCCCACCCCTAGCAACTTCTCTCTCTCTCTCTCTCTCTCCCTCTCTCTCTCTCCCTCCCTCCCTCCCTCCCTCTCTCTCTCTCCCTCCCTCCCTCCCTCTCTCTCTCTCTCTCTCTCCCTCTATCCCTCCCTCTCTCTAACATTGTGACTTCTCTCAAGTTATCTCTGACCAACCTATTTTTTTTATCTCACCTATTCCAGAGCTTAATTTTCAAAATCCCATGGGTTACATATAAAGAATTCTTATATTAAGAATTCTTGATCATTCTGCTATATCCCAGCTGAAATATTTGGGTAGGGACTGACAACAAGAACCAGGAATATGCATGTTCTCAGATAGGAATGTACAGTAGTAGAATCAAAGGGGACAAGACAGGAGAAGAAGTGGGAAACTTCCTCATCTTTATTTTGCTACTGTACTTTCCACTTACAAATTTCATATATAAGTTGTGGTTTTCCCTTGCTTCTATTACATTCCTCTTATTTGCTTTGCCTTTTAAGAATTCAGAATAAAAACCAGTAGGCCTTAACCTTAAAGTTACACTTCAGGATTCATTAACATTGTTTAACCAGTACTAGGCTTCATAATTATTACCTGTCACACATTTTATACAGTACTTGATATTTGTAAAAATATCAAATACTGTCAAAATTATCCAAAGATTGGTTCTTGAAAGATTATTAAGAGGTTTCCCCAGCTTATTTGACATTTATCTCTATCTAACTGGGTAGAGGGGTAGGTATTTCTAACTTTCTCTCCATGTAAAAACATTCTTACACAAATAAGCTTAAGTGTAAAACTTCATTAGCCCAGTTAAATTTTGTTTAATTCTGCTTATTTAACCATCTCGCTAGAGCTGCTGTGACTAGCAGAGTATTATTAATGAAGATGTACTGATTGTAGCTCAGGTTATCATTTTAATTTGCAATTAGCCTGTATGCTTCTTGTGTTTACAGATTTACTAATTGCTGTTGAATTGGTCCCTACAGTGGCACCTTGGTTGTTCGTATTCTTGAAATAACTGAGGATGACCTTTAAAGGATAAAATGTTTGATATAACCAATGAGATTTGAGAGAATAAACTAGCAGAACCATCCATGCTATGGTTACTTTCCCACTTTTATTTTCAGAGTATGCGAATACATCAGCACTCTGGAACACGTCCATTTCAGTGATGGCACTTCTCAGCCACCTGTAACTATCACCCAAGCCCAACAGGGGGCAGTGGCACTTCTGGGTGAAGTTCAGGCTGCAGACTTTCCCCAGGAATTGATTCTGGACCAAGAGGCAGCCCTGAGGAACAACCCTGTCATCCAACCAGTATCCATTCAGGATCTCATCAAAGAAAGCAGTAAGGGAAGAGCTTTTGATTTTCGGGGAGGCAGCCTGATGACCGGGAGCAGTGCTGCCAAAGCTATCCTCACCCTCTCTAATCAAGCTGACAGGTATTACTAACAACATATTGGATGAAGTTTTGGATTTATTTAATATCCAACAGTGGGGGAACTGCTGCCATTTTCACAACCTGGGTCAGTTTAATAAATGTCCAGAATTTGTGTGTGTGTGTGTGTGTGTGTGTGTGTAGATGGCTGGCCCCAGAGTGGGGTGGGAATGGAGATTTTGCAATATCTTTCTCCCAGGAAAGGGGGGGGGAATGGGAATTTTGCAGTATCCTTCCCCTGGAATGGAGTGGGAATGGAGATTTTGCAGTATCCTTTCCCCTGGAGTGGGGTGGGAATGGAGATTTTGCAGTATCCTTCCCTTGCCACGCCCACCAAGCCACACCATGCCCACCAAGCCATGCCCACAGAACCAGTAGTAAAAAAAATTTGAATTTCACCACTATTAGGGAACATTGAAATTTATGCTCATGTGAGATGGGTAGCCATACAAATATGACAGACAGATGTTAAACAGATGATAGACAGATAGACAGATAATTCTTAGGTCATTGTTCTTATTCAGTATCTTTCCATTTTGAAATCCCTATGCATGAACATAACAATAGATACATGAAAGGTAGAAGAGTCTATAACTTGTAATCAACTAGTCTTCTAATTTAGTGATGAGAAATCTAAATATGCCACCCCACCACATTCCATTTTTGTAGCTCCAGGGGGCCAAGAAAATTGTCTGTGAAATTTAGATGCAAACTGCCAAAAATAACAATGGAACATGTCATAAGAAACTCTGAAGGGGAAGAGGAAGTGGTCTATAATTGCTGTAAAGTTAGATACATAAAGAAATAAATGGACACTTCATATTGCTCTCTTCAACTTGCATTGCCAGGAATAAATGCTGCAGCCAGTTAAGTTATCCTATGCTTGATTATTGTGGTTAAAAGTTGGTTTGCTTGAATCTAATTATGATTAATATCATCTGATAACATTGTAACGTGTTTTGGAAAAAGAAAGTGACAGGTTCAAATTCTGCCTTCTCCTGGTGTGTAAGAAAAGAAAATAGGGAAAACACACAATGCTCATTGTGGTTCATTCTCAGCATGCTGCATAATAATTGAATGTTATGTCCTTCATGATTTTTGTGTTGCCAGTTTTCTCAAGTGTCTTTTCTGTATAATGTCTTTAAACTACTTTTTTAGAAATTATATTCTTTTGATATATATATATTTCTTATACATTTCTATCATAAATCTACCATAAATCAGGATTTCAATATAGATTGTATAGATATTTGATTGTACTATTTCTGTGTTTAATATATTCTCAATTTCCCCCCTGTGTTTTGTTGGTTATCGAACTGATCAAAAGTTGAGTTACTCGAGGTCAACAAAATCAAATTAGTCCTTGCTGGTTATATTAGGATTCAGAAATACCTCATTCCTTGTTTATTGAACTGTCACTGCTTTGTGTTTCTTACTGTTATATCTGTGTGCTAAACTCTTACCCATAAAGGAGAAAGAATATATGGTAACTCAGGTCTGCTTAGTTGCTTATATGGAAAGCTTTGAGAGAAAGATTTGATAAGGAACGATACCTTCTGCCTCTTTCATGAAGGCTTTTTGAAGATGCTGTGGATAAATTGAATCTGATGGCTTTGGGAGGTTTCCTGTACCAGCTAAAAAAGGCCTCCCAGTCCCAACTCTTCCAGTCAGTTACAGACACAGTCGATTACTCTTTGGCCATGCCAGGTATGCTTCTGGAACAGGTATCATAAACGTCTTTCTTTTATTCTAATTATGGATGCAAGGCTGTTAACATACATGTTCAAGAACGTTAATAATGAAGGATCTGCACAGGTGCTAGTTCTTGTGGGAATTCAGATTAAGAAGCTGAACTTAACCTTCAAAGTTTTCAGCAGTCTGGAACCCATATTTCTGAAGACTCAGCTGTCTTGGTTATTAAGATCTTTCAAAAGGGGCTGCTCATACTTGCTATGGGTTGGTTTTTTATAAGACAGGGACTTCTGTATCACCTCCCAAGCTGTGAGATGTTATTTCTTCAAAGCCGAGGTTAGTCCCCAGGTTTGATTTTGAAAAGAGGTCAATATCTCTTTAACCTGCCTTGTTAAAACTACTAGTAGAAGGTTTTAAATGTTCAACAGATGAGTTGTATTTTCATCCACCATTCATTCTTTCTATATAAACTATGTATTTCACTGTTAAGATTGGCTTAATCAGTTTTTTATTTGACTTTTGAAATTTCCTATAATCACATTGTCTTTTCTCAAAAAATTTACCTTCACTGACCCAAAGGTGCTTTTTCAAGAGGCAGCTGGACTTCCTTATTTTTCTTTGAAGACGTTTCACTTCTCATCCAAGAAGCTTCCTCAACTCTGACTGGATGGTGAGGAATGGAAGAATTTATATTTTTTGCAGATAGCTGGTCAATTGCATTATTTTAGGGAGTCGTTGATGCCACTTGGAGGTTTGTCTATGTCCTCAGGGTTACCTGAGTAGTACAAGTGGATGTACAAGTACAAGTTAGAGCTGAAGAAGCTTCTTGGATGAGAAGTGAAATGTCTTCCAAAAAAAACACAAAGTCCAGTTGCCTCTTGAAAAAGCACCTTTGGGACAACCATGATCTGGATGACTGAGAATCTCCATAGACATTTATCTTCACTGAATGCAAGAAATGGTGCAGAAAATAGATACTTGTGAGCAAGACTTTTCAGTGGTACCTTCCCTCAACCCTTGCCTCCAGTCTGTAACATCCTAGAATGTCCTAATGAGGCACTGACTTTATTGTCTTTTTGACACTTGAAAATATTTTTTTTAATTCTCTCAGGCATTTTAATCAGTCAGTCTGCTAATTTTAAACGTATATAGTGTTTAGTAACTTTTTAATTATTTTGCCCACTGCTTTTATTTTTTTAGTGTTTTATACTTTAATTACTTGATTACTGTGTTTTATTGTATATTTTAGTAGTTTTTAGAATTGCATGGTTTGTATTTTATTGTGCTATAAGTCACACTGGGGCAAACTTGGTTTTGAAGGGTTATTTTCAAGATGTAAATATAATGAATAGCAGGGAACAATGAAGAAGGCAGATGTGTATGTATATATTGCATTATTTTAATCTTTAATTCATATTACAAGATAATTTTACTCATTCTTGTAGGAGAAATAAAATCTACCCAAGAAAGAAGAAGTGCCCTTCACTTGTTCCGTCTAGGAGGAGCTATGCTCCGAATTGTGAGGAGTAGAAAACGGCCTTTGCTCCATTTTATGCGCTGTTGGCACCTAGTGGCTCCTCACTTAGTGGAAGTGAGTGAAATTGGGGGTGGGAAGAGGAAAAAAAATATAGAGTTTATACTATTTTCACATTGCAATTATTTTTATTTTATTTTATTTAGACGAATGAAAAACTGCCTCATTTCAGAGATTCTAAGGCAGTGTGATGGCTAATCTTTTCCGGACCGAGTGCCCAAAGTGCTCATGCGTGCACAAATGTACACATGCCTGCATGCACTCCCAAAATGCAATGTGTGTGCGGCCCTCCTGCATGCACCCCGCCCCCCATGCATGCACGGCAGAGACCCGAAGACCAGCTGGCCAGGGGGAGGCGTGCGTGTATGTGCAGCAGAGCTGAGCTGGGGTGATAGCTCGCGTGCCCACAGAGAAAGCTCTGTGTGCCACCTCTGGCACGCATGCCATAGGACCTCCATCACAGTTCTAAGGCAAGAGTGTCCAACCTTGGCAACTTTAACATTTGTGGACTTCAGTTTCCAGAATTCACATGCTGGAAGTTGAAGTCCATAAGTCTTCAAGTTGCCAAGGTTAGACAACCCTCTTCTAGGAAGTATATTAAATCAAAATACAATATTGTACAAGGAACAATGTTCTTACATTAAAAAAAAAAAAGAAACATTAATGGACCTGTTTTATTACCAGAGGCCTTCTGGAATAGCCGTATTCTAACTATTCTCTGTAAGGCCATATGAGTGGGGCCATCTTGCCTTCACATTTAAGTTGTTCCAAAAGAAGGAAAGAAGCAGCCACTAAGAACATCTGGATCCAAATTCTCTTCCATTTGGCTTCCTGATAGGAGGGAATTACCAAGTGCTCTCCATTCACTTGGATAAGATGGATGTCTAAGATAATCACCTCCCAAAAGATACAGGGCTTTCTAGGTAATCATCAGCATCCTAAATTGCACTTGGAAACCAACCAGCACCCAATACAACACTTATTACAGCAGCATAATGTGGCAATATCGTGACTGTACTATAAGCATATAAGCAATCACACTTAGTATTAGTTGAAGTTTCCAAATGACCTAGTCCCGTGTAGAGCAAATTGCAGTAGTCCAGATGTAGATTAGGGTAACCATCTTCAGAGTATCTAGTTAAGGTACATAAAAAAAAGCTGTGAAAGTAAATGAAATTATGTAAAAAAGATAATGCTCTAGGACAGGGGTGTGGAACTATGGTCTCTTTATGACCTGTGGACTTCAACTCCCAGAATTCCTGAGCTAGCCATAAAGGAGCCATAGTTCCACACCCCTGCTCTACGGGATATTCCTCTAACTTGGTGCCTTCCAGATATATTGACCTATAGCCGTGATGGCGAACCTATGGCACAGGTGGCACATGGAGCCATAGCGGTGGGCACGTGAGCTCAGCTCTGGCGGGCATGCACGCGCCAGCCAGCTGATTTTTGGGCCTTCTGGGCCCACCAGAAGTAGGGAAACAGGCTGTTTCCGGCCTGCGGAGGGCCTCTGGGCGGGTGGGGAAGGCCGTTTTCGCCCTCCCCAGGCTCCTAGACAGGCTCTGGAGCCTGGGGAGAGCAAAAAACAGGCCTACCAGGTTAGCCATCACTGGCCTATAGTTTCTGCAGCCACAAAATGGGAGAGGACGCATTTGTTAATACAAATGCTGAATGGGGATGTTAGAATTTGGAAGACAACAGTTCCTGAGGAAACCATGTGAGGTGACCTGTACTGCTGTTATTTTCCATATACTTATATAATTGGCTTTTTGGTGTTTAATGAATCTACTTTACTTGCTTATTTTTGTATATAGTTCAGTTCAGCTATAGTATCCCATATATTTGGTGCATCTTACAATTATTATTTTTCTAAACATAAATACTTTTGTCCTCAAGTTGAATTTGATCTACAGCAGGCAAATTATATGCCAAAGCTATCCTGACAGGTTAGTAATACCTGTCAGCTTGATTAGAGAAGGTGAGGATTATATGTGGGGAATAAAAGAAGCCAAAACAAAACAAAAATACAGTAACCAAATAATTAAATTTATTTATTTATTTATTTATTTAATTAATTAATTAATTAATTAATTTGATTTTTATACCGCCCTTCTCCAGCAGTACTCAGGGCGGTGGACAGCCAAAGTAAAAACACAACATACAAAAATTAAAACAGTTTAAAAGATATTAAATAGTGTCGGCCACAATTTAAAATAACCCAGTTAAAATTAATTTCAAATTAAAACCAAAGGATGGGATCAAGCCAGCCCAGCTAGATGAAATAAGTGAGTTTTAAGGGCCCGACAAAAAGTCCGGAGGTGCGGTATCGTGCGTATTTCTGGGGGTAGGTCGTTCCAGAGGGCGGGTGCCGCCACAGAGAAGGCTCTCCCCCTGGGGGTCGCCAGCCGACATTGTCTGGCCGACGGCACCCTGAGGAAGCAATTGGTGGCAGAAGGCAGTCTTGTAAATATCCCGGCCCTAAGCCATGGAGCGCTTTAAAGTTGGTCACCAACACCTTGAAGCACACCAGGAAGACCACCGGGAGCCAGTGCAGTTCGCGTAGGAGAGATGTCACATGGGAGCACCCCATAGCTCCCATAATCCCCCGCGCGGCCGCATTCTGGACCAGTTGGAGCCTTCGGGTGCACCCCAAGGGGAGCCCCATGTAGAGAGCATTGCAGTAGTCCAGGCGGGAGGTGACGAGTGCTTGAGTGACCATGCGTAGGGAGTCCCGATCCAGAAAGGGACGCAACTGGCATATCAGGCGAACCTGATAAAAAGCCACGGCCGACATATGCTCTTCTAAAGACAGCCGTGCATCCAGGAGGACGCCCAAGTTGCGAGCCCTCTCCGTGGGGGCCAATGACTTGCCCCCAATAACCAGTGATGGCGCCAGCTGGCTATATCGGGACGCCGGAAGCCACAGCCACTCAGTCTTGGAAGGGTTGAGTCAGAGCCTGTTTCTCCCCATCCAGGCCCGCACGGCCTCCAGGCTTTGGTTTATAGGTATAAATGCTTTGGTTTATAGGTATGACAACCTTCCTTAAGCTTAGATTCCTATCAGAAGATCTATGTTTTCCTCAGTTTTCTTGATCAAAATATTTTCTTATTAACAAAACTATTATACATTTTGCTTCTAATTCTCTCGCTGCAGGCCGCCTGCCATAAAGAAACGCATGTTTCTCGGAAAGCTGTTTCTTTTATCCATGACATCCTAACAGAGGTTCTGACAGTCTGGAACGAGCCACCTCATTTTCACTTCAACGAGGCACTTTTCCGTCCCTTTGAGCGCATCATGCAGCTTGAACTTTGTGATGAGGACATTCAGGACCAGGCAAGCTAGATTTTGGTTAAGTAAGGAGGATCTGACCTCAGGTTTTTAAGTTTTGATTTTTTTAAAAAAAAATATTATATGCCTAGTGGATGCAGTTTTGCATTTGGTTATAGAGGTAGTTGTGGACTGTTTGAAGTTACCACAGATCTCTCCAAAACTACTTACCACCCGCTTTAGAAATTATGATGGGTTCACAAAAGCGGTGTGGTCACATGATCCCATTTTGGCTTCTTGGCAGCTGGCTCATCCTTTATGACCATTTGCAGTGTCTCGCAGTCACGCAATCACAATTTGTAACAGTTTTGCTGTTTTTCCAGCATTTACTTCCAGTTCCCAACAAAATTATTGGAGAAAATGATTTCTTTAACAACTACAGAGTTTGCTTTTAACAGGATCAGCATTATGTGTAACACATTACTGTGAATAGCTGAAACAGAAACATTGATCAGTTGTATCAGGATAGAGATGTCCCACACAAAATTTTGTTTTGTTTTGCTAATTTATTTTATTTTATCTTATTTTATTATGTTATTATTTATTAAACTTGTATTCTGTCCATCACAGGACAGATATTTTTAGTGCTATGATTAGAAACATATAGCTGATAAAGAAGTTGATCATAGTAATCCACATCCTGGTTTATTTGATGTACACATATGAGATCCATGAAGGTGTAGTGCCATGTTTAGAACATTCCAGAATTTAGGGGTTTTGTTTTTCAGGCGCTCCTCAACTCAGGTTTTTTTTTGGTAAAGTTTTTTTTATTTTTTACATAAACATACAATGTATTTTTGCTGAACAGAATATTTGGCCGGTTAACAAATTTAAACAATTTTTAGTCCTCAACTCAAATGACTCAACTCAGTTCTGATGTTCATATTTCTCACATTTTCCCATGTTGTCCTCTACACTACTGTAGTGTATGAATTCACGTAGTAAATAACCGAACACAAATTTCATTATATGTCCAGAAATTCGCCGAAGTTAGTGGACCTTGTGAGTCTGAGCTATATGTTGTCTTTATTAACAATTACCTCATACATGGTCGCTTGCAGTTATGACAGCGATGAAAAACTAACTTTGATCTATCCTCACATTTATAACCTTCACCAGTTTGTAAAGCAAAGTTGAAATAAGCCACAAGCACAATTACTCATAAGCCTGGTTGCCATTCCTAATGAGAGATCTCTCTGTCATTCATTTCCTTGATCCCAGTGAGTGTGTTCTGAGCCCAGAGATCCAGCTTATCATTTTCTTTATGTTGGTTGTTTTCTTTGTAATGCTTTGGTGCTTCAATTATACCAGGTGGTCACATCTATAGGAGAACTGGTGGAGGTGTGCTCAACTCGAATTCAATCAGGCTGGAGACCATTGTTCAGTGCTTTAGAAACTGTGCGCAGCAGCAGCAGCAAGTCAGAAGTTAAAGAGTATCTTGTTGGGGAGTATTTGATGGGTGAGGTTCTCTAATTCTCTCTTCCCCCTCCCCTACTTTATGAATTCATTTCTGAAAACCAATCTGTTACAAAATACTGAAAAATATGACTTACCTGGTAAATTAAAGTTAATACAAAACTTTGTTGCAAAATATTAAAAATAGTCAAATATTTCTATTTGATAAATAAACCTTAATTTTTATTGCTTCAGTTTTAGCATATTTCAGGAAAAATAATGATTTACGGTAACATAGCATTAATTTCAGGGGTTGGTTCTACTTACCTTTACTACTGGTTTGCAACGGGAACGCGCGTGTACTTCTGTACATGCACAGATCACCCTTGATGATGTCAGGGCGGGTGGGTGGAGCCTCTCACCGGTTTTAATACTGGTTCTATAGAACCGGACAGAACCAGGAGCAACCCACCACTGACTGATTTTTTTAAAAAATCTCTATCTATTACCTTTGTGCTTGATTTTCGAAGCTACACATAAAGCCATTTAAACAATCCATATGATAAATGTCTTTAAAGTTAGCAAATGTTGACAACCATTTCCACGCAATACTGTTTTTAGTCCTCAATACCTCACAATTTCAGCATGAAAATAATCTGTGTTTATCTTTGTTCCTGGTGACCTCAAGGTGTTAGGTATACACAGGGAATGCCATGCCTACTGTTCACTGTAGCTAATCAGCAGGAGCATGCACGTCATCAGATTAGTATATTCTCTCACTATTAGGGCTGCATACCCACAAGACTTTCCATCCAAAGTAGAGACTGAACCTCGGGGAGAATAACTTTTTAAAGAATGAGGCTAAGCTTTCAGCATATCCAGACTACAATAACATATTAGTTGATTAGTTATTCTTTTTAAAAGTTTGTGTGTGTTGATTCTGGTCTGGTCATAAATTTCTTGTTTTCTTTTGCCCAACTACATTGCTGTTCCAGGAAGAATTAACTCCCTTTTTATATCCCTGTAATCCCTTAATTCGGGTTAGAGTCAGGGTCGCTATGTGGTGCTGAGCATTTACTGGACAGATGCCCTTCCCGACGCCACACAGAGTTCGCAGCAGATATTTTTTTTCTTTATGCCGTAGGAGAGAAACATCTGCTTCTCCTAGGATTGAATTCTCAATCTTCCAAGTGGGAGGCAAGTGTCTTTACCACTAGGCCACCACGCTGCTCAAATATTACAGAAATCCAAAACAAAAACAAAAACACCAAACTACAACCAACAAACTTTGCAAACTGAACTGATGTGAAATTTGCTGACCCTAGCAACCAATTTTTTCTCTGAAAGTATTCATCCCTCCAGGCATTTAATAATTAACAGTTATCCAATTGATAGTCAAAGTTCCAGGCAGGTGCTTAACTAAGGCAGGATGGACATTCTTCTCGTTCCTTCTCCTTCCAAACTGAACAGTTCAATCAGTAGGGATCCATGATTATTTTGCGATTACACAATTATGCAATTGCATAATCAGATGAAGATGTGTAGTACTTTTATTTAACTGTTTTATAGCCGATCTCCCTATGGTAGGGCTTTATCAGCTTTATCAGAGGAACATGAAGCAGCAACATGAAGATTACAAAAACTCATGCTTTCTAATGCTAATGACTATTTACTTGGATTTTTTTTTCAGCCCAGATATATTATTCTTCTACATGAATGAATGTTCTTATAGGAAGCTGCTTCATGCTGAATTAGACCATTAGCGTCTCCTTTATCAACAGTTATTAGCAGGTTCTATAAGTACACCTATCTTTGTATAAACCTGCTTGGGGCTTAACTTTAAAATATAATTTTAAGATGCAGAGAATATACTTCAAAATAAGCCCACAACAAATCATATTATGTGCTCTGAAGCCATTCGGCTTCTAGAAACCGGAACATTTTCTAAATATTTTCTTTGTCTCTTAGGAAAATGCCAGGCTCCAGTGTTTGATGTCTTCGAAGCGTTTCTAAATACCGACAACATCCAAGTCTTTGCAAATGCAGCCACCAGTTACATCATATGTCTTATGAAGTTTGTCAAAGGATTGGGTAAAACTTTTTTTTTAGGAAAAAAAATGGGCAAATTTTATGTCATATGAGGATTCATGTTTGTTGAAAGAGATGGCAAGCAGTGTGTACTGGAGAATAGCCAACACCAAGAAATACTTCTAAATGCAGTTAAAACAACAACAATTTGTGATTTTCTTTTAATGAATGCGGAAATACCAGCTCTATGATTTATGGAAGTGGACCCATATGAAACTTTTATGATGTTCTGTGGCCATCCATTCCTATCCCCATAACTTTCCAAGAATGCTGGAGAACATTTTCATTGTAATTTAGATAGCTCTTTTGTTATTTTCTGGAGACTACCATTTCCCATATTATGCCTTCAATTAGCATTCATTAACAACTGTAGGAGAGTTTTATGCAGCTTTGCTAGTGCTCTAAATTCAGAATTGGCCAGACTCTAAAACCCAGGAGTGCAGACGATTGGTGCTGAAGATTAACAAGATGGTCAGCATATTATTTTTTTAGTTTTAACAGCTTTAGTTTATAATACAAAATACAAAAGTACAAAAGCAAATAGTAGGGAGGATAAGGGGAAGGGAGAACTAGAAAAGAAGAGAAAAAAGAAAAAAGGTGTAGACTTCCAACTCCCTCTAGTAGAGTAGAATAAGACATTAACATCAAACCTCAACTTTTTACTTTTGCATGATACTATAAACTAGCCACTTCTATAACAACAAATCTATATAATCAATAAAACCCAAAATCAAAGTTTCTTCCACCTCAAGCACAAAGTCCAGAAGTGGTTTCCAAATAGAAACAAAAGTACTTGTATTTTTTTCTTTGATCAAAATAGTCAGTTTAGCCATCTCTGCTAACTCCATCAACTTTTGCAGCCATTTGTCCATTATAGGAATCGAAATATCCTTCCACTTCTGTGCATAGGGTAGTCTTGCTGCCATCAACATATATAACAGGGATGTCAAAGTCACATCGTCACGGCGGCGGCACATGACATATCGGGACTATTTTCCCCTTCACTTAACCGGGTGTGGGCGGGGCCGGCATGTGACGCATCTGGTCCATGGGCCGGGAGTTTGACAGCCCCGATATATAACATCGAAGTTCAAATTTTTTTCCAAGTCTCTTTCAAAGTCAGCATTTTTTAAAAGCCTTTTATTATAGAAATAAAAATGTAATAGAAGGGCACACTCTGGCTTCTCATGATTGGCTACAATCAAAATGAATTATATTCCTACATATAACAACAATAGGCAGGAGATCTCAACTCCTCCCTGGTCCATTTTGTCTCCTGGCTCTTCTGTGCCTTGCTGTGAGATAGGTGGCAAACAAACAAACAAAATCCTTCTTAGTGGTGGAACTGAAGCACAGGAAAACAATCCTTGGAGTAAGGGCATAGTGTAGTATGTTTACTACCAGCAGTTGAACCCTGAGGAAAAGCTAGAGATACATGGGCCCTCCAGCTTTATATTTGATCCCTGAACCAAGCCAACAATTTCTGTGTATACTCCCAAGCACTTTTTCTGCCTCCCCCTACCTGTTAATCCTTTGAAACCCTGTTTTATTTCTGTGCCTGAGTTAAGCCTTTCTGGATTTGATTGACACATAGTTCATAACAGCAATAGTCTTTTAATGTATCATGTCTCATCTTTTCCTTTCTCTCCTCACAGGGGAAGCAGACTGCAAGGATATTGGTGACTGTACATCAGGATACCCATCTACAGATTTGTGCCTTCCTGCACTTGATTATCTCAGGAAGTGTTCTCAGGTGGGCGGAATGAAGCCGCACAGATTCAGCTGTCATTCCATCAAGGCACTTAAATGAGTTCCTAATCAGAGGCTCTTACACACAGTGAGCCTTTCATGTGCATTAAAGACCTGACTTAGTGGAGAGGGCTACATATTTCAAATCTCAAGTGATACATTCTAGACTGAAATAGTGTCAGGATTGGTGGCTTCCCCTATTGTTTTTATTATAATGCCACATTGTTCACTCCTAGGTGTGTGAAGTGGCAGAGGAGTTTAACACTTAAATTCTGTTTGTCACAATTACTGTTACATTTCCAAGTAATCAGTATTAACAATTGAAAGCATATGGTCAGAAAACAGCCAGTGAAATTAAAATCACAATGAAGGATATTGTTTCAAAGTTATGTGATGGTCCATATTCTCCATTCTCATATTTAGCATCATTTTCTTCTCTGCCACCTAATCATTGCTGCAATTCATTCTGACCAGCTAGTCTATCAAAAAGTAAAATATTTTAGCAGTGTTTTTTTAAAAAAATATCTACCTTAATGTCATGATATGCCAATGGAAATCCCAAATCAATCACACCATGTCCGTCCCTTTTTAGCTACTTGCCAAAATCTACAAAATGCCCCTGAAGCCTATTTTTCTCATTGGGAAATTTGCTAACTTACCCCAAAGGATCCAGGAACGATCCGCGAGCAGCGAGGAGGGCATTGAATGTGTCCTTTCTGAGTTTGACGATGGCACAGGTAAGCAAATATGGCTTATCAAATGAAAAATGAACTTCAATATCACATACTAAAAATGTGGTCCCTTAGCTACTGTATGCCATATGAAGTTCAACAGATAGATTAAAATTGATTCATTGAAAATATATATATGTAGCACCCAAGGATTCAAATCAGAATTTGACATCATTTCCATTTGCCATGGAGATAATTTGCTAGAAGGGAAAAGCTGCAGCCATAAAAGTTTTAAAAGTTTTAAAGAAAAGAGATGAAGGCTTAAATTTATCTTTGATATTAATTCCCCAGAGAACTTTTTGCGGGGAGCCTAAAATGTTAACCCAGAGCTAAGAGGTCAGTGTCATCTTCTGCTCTTGGTTATTATCAGGTATCGTAAGTGCTTTAGAAGATTTCCTGTAGCAATGAGGAATGAAATATATGTCCTTCAGGGTTCTGTCTAATTATAATTCCCCTCATTCCATCTGAAGCAGATTAGGCACGTGCACTGTGCAAAGCAAATCTGCTTGCATAAATTTCTTCCCTGTTATATTACAGCCTTTAATGTGCAAATGCAAGCTGGAGCCTAGCCATTGTGGAAAAAGAAAATGTCTCCAAATCTGATTTCTAGTCAGTTCCAAATCCAATCTCTGGTCTGTTCCAGATAGGGAAATGTAATTCAGCTACTATAAAGGGCCAGATCTGCTGTAAAACTGCAGTTGCTATAACCTCTGGTTTACAGAATGTCCTCTAAAATATTGTCTAAGGAATTTCCATTGGAAACTCGTTGTCTATTTGATTATTTGCCAAATTCTCAGTTTCTCTCCATTCCTCATTTCTGCATGATTATAACAATATGATCTACGTCTGAGAACAAACAGATCGCTGATTTAAAGAGAACAGCAGTATTTCTGCAAGCATCACTATTTCACAATGCTATTTTTGAATGTATGTACAATGTATATCACAATATAATGACTTCATTCAGCAGAGAGCTACATATATCTTTCTGGCTCTGTCCTTAGTTGGAGCCATTTCTAGTCAATATCGTAGATTTGCTTTTTGTTGCGGTTGGGGAGGAACATGGGCCAGTCCTGAAGTTCGAGGAAGGCTTGGACGATGGCTCTGAGTTGGAGGCAGAGAGGGGTCCAAGGCCATCTGGTAGTTTTTTGCTGCCTCCAGAGTCTCCGGAGTCTGACATCAGCGAGGCAGAAGAACAGCGTCAGCCTGTACCCAGTGTGCGCACGCGCAGAGCTGCCAGGAGACAGGAACAATTAAGGAATTGAAATCAGAGTTGGGAGTAAGGCTTGGAGATGATTGTCCCCTCCCATAAGACATAAAAGAGAAGCGAATGGGACGTGAGCTTCTGCAGGAAGCAATTAGTTCATCTGGGTAAAAGCTCTGGAAAAGCTCAGTTTGACTCTGTGCTAAATTTGGGCTTGCCCTGCATTTGGCAATTAGTTCTCTGGCAGCATTCCAAGGGACATAAGGTGAGTGCTTGTAAACACTCTTCTGAAAGATTGTTTATCAAGCCTTGCGGACTGTAAATGAAAGTAATTTACAGCCGTATGAATTAAAGAGGTTTGCTGGGACTAAGTTTGTGCTGTTTACTTTCTAAGGAAGCCTAGGTCAGAACAATACCCTATTTTACAATGGACCTGGATTTTTATTCTTTTTTTAAAAAAATATCTATTCTAGCTCACATTTCTGCTTATATCAATAATCAAAGTGACTTGCTCTCATCCCCCTTTTGTGACAGTCCTCTATTTTCCTATCACTTGCGTCATCTAGGGTTTTTTTCCCTCACTGAAAATAAATATGTTAACAAGAGAAAGGCAGTATGAAAAAACAGCAGAGTGGTGCTAATTACTTTCTGAATGGAAGTAGGCTAAGTGGATATCAGAGGTACAAATGGGCTGTGTGTAGTTTTTCAAGCTGGTCAAACAATTTGTCCTTTTCTTTTTCACAAAGTGGATAATCCTACTTTGGAGGAAGGTTCGAACTAGGTTGTGTTCCTCATTGATTATGAATTTCTCGTTTTTAAAAGGCTGCCCCTTTGAATATGCTGTTATATCAGAGTAGAAGAAAACATGGACATGTACTTTGATTGTGGTGTATTGCATGAAAAAAGTGAATGATTTGGCAGTCAAATTTGGGCAAAAGGATAAGAGAAGAACAATTCAGATAGCAGATGCTCATATGGAGAATTTCTTTTCTGACAAGCCTGGCATTTGGCATTTAATTAGCCTTTACTGGAAGCCAGGAAGCCAGAATTCAGCAATTGCAAACTGTAATAAAATTAATTGAGCCTCTTACATGCAGGCTGTAATAAAATAAAAACAGACATAATTGGAATAAAAAAGTATGAATCTGGGGAAAACACAGAAAGTTTATCATATATTATCCATATCCTTTTACATAAGATTTTGTTTCCTTAGGCCTTATTAATGTCTGGATCCTTCTGCTAGAAGAGCTAACCACTGCCATATCTAATTGTCCTCGGCAACACCAGCCTCCTACTCTGGATCTGCTCTTCGAACTACTAAGAGATGTTACCAAAACACCAGGTAATTAACCAAGTTACAATGCAAAAAAAAAAATAAAAGCACATCTAATTTCCACAACAGGGGTCAAAATCTGCAAGTCATGGCATCTCAAAAGAAGTCTTGCCCCAAAGCAGTGGGGCAATATAATATAATTAATATAATATAATATAATATAATATAATATAATATAATATAATATAATGTAATGTAATGTAATGTAATGTAATGTAATGTAATGTAATGTATGTATGTATGTATGCCTCCATTTTGTAGATTTTGACATACTTACAGGTACATCCCACCACTGCCACTGATTTCCACATCTGCATCCAGAGAGGGTTTGATGCCAGTTATTGTATCTCAGACCAATCTACTGCAAAGGCTTTTTGCGGGAAAAAAAATTGCAGAACATTTTCTGAGAGCATGCTGTGTTAATTAAGTCTAACTGCTGTGATACAAACAAAATGGAGGATCAGAAATTGAGAAGAAAAGCACGCCCAAGGGCACCATTGTCTTGCAGTTTTCATTTGTACTCCATGTTTTATAGTATTATTAAAACTGGTTCATGCTGGTATATTTATATTTTGCATGATAGTTGGTAATTTAAATAGGAATGTATTGATCAAATGCTACTGTACTTCTTTGGACCCCAAATTAAAACATTTAAAGTTGACAGAACAGGTTTAAAATAGAGATAGGGAGTGCCAAAGGGAGTCACTTTGCAATCCCTTGAAATTTCTATGAATATACTGCAAAAGTCAGTGGCAAACAAATAATGCTTACATGAGTGTGTGTGTGTGTGTGTGTGTGTATTTTGTCAATAGGCTTAGTTCATTATGAAATTAAAAACCTTTTAAAATAGGGGGGAAACAACTCCAAAATTCTGACACTCTCCCCCCAAGTTACCATTTTCTCACAGCTTGCTCTCTTTCGTGGTCAGCATAGGTTATTTAATTATAAGCAAGAGAGCTGTTAAAGATCCTGAGCTTGTCAGCTGGAAAATTGACAGTCCAGGTTTGAGACCTAAGCGCTGTGCGACAGGGTGAACTCCCGTTACTTGCCACAGCTCCTGCCCACCTAGTAGTTCAAAAGCATGCAAATATGAGTAGATAAATAGGTACCATTAGGTGGGAAGGTAACAGTGTTCCATGCACCTTTGGAGTATTGTCATTCTGGCCACATGACCATGGAAATGTTTTCAAACAACGCTGGCTTCCTCTAATAAGAAATGGAGATGAGCACCACCGCCTAGAGTCAGACATGACTGCCCAGGGGAAATCTTTAATTATAGGCAATTGGGATATAAATTCATAAAAGAGATACAGATTCATAAATAAAGCTATTTAAAGTCATTTTATAAGTCTGTTGCCAATAAAATACTATTTCCAGACTGTATTTCTTTAGTGTGACTATATTCAGGATCAGAAAAAATACATGTTTATCTCAGAGAAATCATATAAAAGCTGGTTGTCACACTAAACTTAGAAACATATGTGAATTTTATTTATTCACTGTTTTAAAACACTCATTAAACATTTCATTCGAGAAGCTCTAGATCACGGGTGTCAAACAGGTGCAGCATCACATTGCCGTCACATGACATATCACGACGGTTTTCCCCTTTGCGGAGCTGGGGTGGGTGTGTCCTGTGCATGACACATCCAACCCGTGGGCCACCAGTTTAACACCCCTGGTCTAGATGTTTTACAAAATTATGTCTATATCTCATGTCTTCCTGATACAAAAAAGAAATGCAAAGAAGATGGCTAGAAATGCTCAGCTAAGAATAGCTCCATCATCTGTTTCCTGTCCATTTTTATTTTCTGGTCATCAATAGGCAAGCTGTAGTTCTTCAGAAATTGTGTAGCTTAACTTAGCATACCTCCCATGGTCCATCTTAGCTGAGACTGCTAGGAATTAGAGTTCAACAATAGCTGGAAGTCCATAGTTCCTCTCTAGCGTAGTCTATCAAAAATTCCTCCTCTCCTCTGCATTCTTGAGATATAGCACCCAGAGTATGGTCATGAATTAACCTAAGCATATATTTGAAGGGGGAGGAGATTCTTTATCCTGCTTTTTTTTCATCTTTTAGGCCCAGGATTTGGTATTTATGCAGTTGTACACCTCCTTCTCCCTACAATGTCTCTTTGGCTTCATCGCAGCCACGGCGATCATTCTTACTGGGATGGGGCATCCGCTAATTTCAAACATGCCATTGGCCTTTCCTGCGAATTAGTGGTGGAGCACATTCAAAGTTTCATACATTCAGGTGAGTAAAGCACATCTCACTTGTTAACCAGGTAGCAAATAAACATGACTATTGTAGGTTCATGCAACGTAATCAAAAGCACGTGTATTAACCATTGAAATGACAAAGAGGCCATATTAAAGTAAAACTGGTTTACTTTCTCTATATCAGTGGTGGGTTGCCCCCAGTTCGCACCGGTTCTATAGAACCGGTAGTAAAACTGGCGGGAGGCTCCGCCCACTGACCCCGATGTCATCAAAATGCTTCTGCGCATGCGCAGAAGAGCGAGCGCGCGCAGCCCCTTTGCAAACCAATAGTAAAGGTAAGTAAAACCCACCCCTGGTCTATATAGTTTTATATTTATTGGTGATTTCTATTTCAGCAGAAAAGGAGAAAATGGAATAATTCAGGTCCAATTTCTTCGGTTTGTAGTGACATTCCAAAAATTGAATTGAAATTGAAAGTTATTTATTCAGAGATTTCAAAAAGTAATTGAAACCTACTTATTTATACATGCATACATACATTTTATATAGCCAACCAGTTCACTGCAGACTCTGGTCTACTGACAATAATAAAACAAAAACAAGAGCAGTCGAAAACAGTTAAAACAATTATAATAAATCAATATATTGTGTACCATTGGGTACTAAATAACTCTCCTTCGGTGGCCTCTTCTAACTACCTGGCCCTAGTGCTTGAGAGAAAATGCAGATTTTTAATGTCATATACAACACCAACAGGATCAGAATCATCTGGATCTCCAAGACAGGCACCATGAAGGCAGAGAAGGCACATCTCCTGGGTCCTGCAAGATAACACTATTTAATAGAAAGGAGGAGCCTAGAACACGGGTGTCAAATTTGTCACATCACGTTGCCATCATGTGACGTTTCACGACATTTTTTCCCTTCGCGGAGCTGGGGTGGGTGTGGCCTGCGTGTGACACATCCGGTCTGGGAGCCGCCAGTTTGACACCCCATGTCCACTTTATTGAATCTGGTGTGGCAAGCAGAAAAAAATGAGAGAATGATGATCCCAAAGCATCAAAACTGTACACAGTCTCATTGTGATACCATCAGTGGTGTTGTCCCAAAGGTGCTTTTTCAAGAGGCAACTGGACTTTCTGGTTTTTCTTTGAAGACATTTCATTTCTCATCCAAGAAGCTTCTTCAGGTCTGAACCAAAAAAAAAAAAAACACCTTTGGGACAACCATGACGTGGATGACTGAGAAGCTCCATAGACATTCTACTGCGTAGTAGAACATAGATTCCAGGCATTCAAGCATCCTTAGATGCTTCTAGTTAGAATACTGGGCTGTTGTTTTTTTTATCAAGATTAAACAAAACCTTCTGCCAAAATAGCAAATTGTGCTCCAAAACAAAATTTCTGATGGTTCACAAATTGTTCTCGCATATCATAATTTGGTTACCTATAAATCAATACCGAAACTCTAATACACATGGCAGTAACTAGTCAAACTTGGTTAATCTCAAAAACCTAAGTACTTGAAGTAGCTAAGACACTGAGCTTGTCGATCAGAAAGGTCAGCAGTTCGGCGGTTCGAATCCCTAGTACAGGTCTCCTGTGTGAGCAGGGGGTTGGACTAGATGACCTCCAAGATCCCTTCCAACTCTGTTACTGTTAAAGCACTTGGATAGGAAACCAGAAATGTTTTTATTTATTTATTTTATTTATGTATTTATTTGTGTATCATCTTTTTCATTTTTTACAAATGCAGCGAACATACCCAATACTGCTTCCTCCTCCTATTTTCCCTACAACAGCTGCCCTTTGTTCCCTACAACAGCTGGTTTAGGGTGAGAGAGTGAGTGACTGGTCCAAGGTTACCCAGCTCGCTTTCATGGCTAAGGCAAGATTTGAACTCATGGTCGCTTGCTTTCTAGCCTGGTGCCTTAACCACTAGACCAAACTGGCTATAATTAAGTGGTAAATGATTTGGATGAAACAGAGCAGTTCCATACCTATTTTCAAAAAAAAAATATAGCTCTATAATATAGCTTCCCTAAGCTCAACAGTAAGTAAATGAAGGCTTTTCTTTTAGTAATACTTTTCTTTCTCTTTTAGATGTTGGCTATGAAAATATGATCAACATGATGCTCAAAGATCTTTTCAAGTTACTTGTAGCTTGTGTAGCAGAAACCACAGAAACCATCTCAAGAGTCGGGTGCTCTTGTATCAGGTAGTACAGATTTTCTTTCCATAATTGTTCAACTGAGAGTGAAGTAAGCAAATATTTGTATTCTTCGAGTACCTAAAAATCCTGTTTGTTTCCTATCCAAACAGATCATTAACACTAAATGAAAGGTCAATAAAGAATGGAAGTTATATTCCTCTTTTTATTGTTGTTCTTTGCTTTAATTTTGTGATACGTTTTCCCTACATAACTTCTTGATTATACACGGTAAATTTATCACTGACTAAATGAGTATTATTTCTGTGAACCTTTCCTGGGTGACAGACATGAAAATCTAATGCAAATAGACTCAATACTTCGATAGCACATAAATCTCTTCACAATTCTCTGACCTAGCTGGCAATTCAATAAGGACTATCACCTGATTGTCGACTGAATGGATGGAATCCAATAGTCGTCTTCTAATAACTGAATAATTCAACAATTAGTATGAGAAGGCCATCTTTTGCCTGTGTAGACTTTGGTACATCTTCTGTACAACTGTTCTGAAGAGATGAGAAACTCCCTTAAGGGTATGAAGAGAGGAGAAGTTAACCGATTAACAGAGTTGGAAGGGACCTTGTAGGTCATCTAGTCCAACCCCCTGCCCAAGTAGGAGACCCTACACCATTTCTGACAAATGGCAGTTTAATCTCATCTTGAAAGTGATGTGATGACGCTCCCACAACTTCAGAAGGCAAGCGGTTCCATTGGTTGATTGTTCTCACTGTCAAGAAAATTTCTCCTTATTTCTACGTTGAATCTCTCCTGATCAGTTTCTATCCATTATTTCTTGTCTGGCCTGCGAGTGCCTTGGAAAATAGCTTGACCTCTTCCTCTCTGTGGCAGCCCCTCAAATATTGGAACACTGCTATCATGTCTGCCCTGGTCCTTCTCTTCACTAGACTAGCCATGCCCAGTTCCTATAACCGTTCTTCATATGTTTTAGTCTCCAGTCCCCTAAACATCTTGGTTGCTCTTCTCTGCACTTTTTCTAGAGTCTCGTTGAAAGAGTACAAGCAGATTCCAGAGATCATTAGATCATACCCAATGATAATCAGATTTCTGTATCTTCCACCATCTTGTGCCTTCTCTACAGATATGTACTAGTGACAGCTGGTCCTGTTTTTACTGAAGAAATGTGGCGTCTGGCATGTTGTGCCTTAGAGGATGCTTTTTCAACTACTCTTGAACCAGTGAAGGTATAGCCTGTATATGATTAAAACTGATTTTAGCAGTTATCATTTTCTTAAATGGTTCTTTTCGGGTGTGCTTGTGTATGCATATGTGTGCACACGGTTATTTATTCATACACACATTATTTTATTTTTATTTTTTTTTTAATTTGATTTATATGCCGCCCTTCTCCGAAGACTCAGGGCGGCTTACAATGTGCTCAGCAATTATTTCTTCCCACATACAGAATTTTATGAATACTGATGTGGCAGCATTGTTTCTTTGAGCTCACAATTTCACAGAGATAGGGGTCCTTTTGGGATCACCATAATGTACAAATGTGGGCCCTACTCAGCCATACTCAGGAGTCTCCAAAAGGAGGGATTCTATACAAGTTTATATAATTTTTTAAAAAACCCTAGATGTCTTATAATGATTAACAAAACATAAAAGACAGAAAACCCAGTGGATAAAAAATGCTTATAATTATAAATAACAACATAAAATTAATTCAATTCTTCTATTTTTAATTATTTTTTATTTTTACATATTATTGATATTTGTAAAAAAAAAAAAAAGTACACAGAAAATAACTTATGGCCAAAAAAAACCACACACACAAAAAGAAATGTTTTTAAAAGATAATATTGTTCCATCTAATTGATATTAAATTAATATTAAATTATGAAGTATATTATTTACAATTAAAATAGAAACAAAAAGCCCTAAGAAATAATATTAATACATAAAATTAAATGAAATATGAGTGACCTAAAATATATCGTATGTTATTTCATAACAAAATATCAAATCTACACATGCAATTGTATATTCTTATAAAAGATTATGAAACCTATGACAAAAAGAAAATATTTTTAAACTATAAAAATCTTTTTTCAAAAATTGATAAATTAAATCCACTAATCCATGATATCTGGACCACTAATAGATTTGCACTCTCTCAGTGTACTGTAATTCTCTTTCCAGTGGTGCGTATAACCAAAATTCCTCAAAGATAGTCAGATTCCTTTTTATTCCTTTTTATAGAATCTATATAAGGGGGGAATTCTACTGTTGAAGAGTAATCTGTAGTTACAATAGAATCCAAAGGCACCAATTAGACTTGTCAGGCGCAAGCAACCAAATCCACTTGTGAAGAGTTCAATTAACTGTTTTATTGCTCAAGCCTATACACAGGAATCTTCTCAGATTGATGGTTTGCACCTTGGTGTCACTAGATAAGGTTTGGTGGCATTCAAGCAAAGTCAGACTTTGCCCTCTTGTGCCCATGTACAGATTCCAGACTAATTGCTCATTTGACTCTTTCCCCTGGCTCAGCTTTCTTTTACATCTTCCAGTTAATACTATAACCAGAGTATAAGCCATGTTGCTGTTGACTTCAGTAATCTTTCGTAATGACATTACATGTTTATTAACGATAGCTATAAGATCATCAGCATATCAGAACAATTTACATTAGCATGCCCTTTGGCTCTTTTGCTTAATTGCTTTACAGTCAGTCCTTGACTTGCAACCAGTTGCTTAGTGACCGTTTGAAGTTATGATGGGTACCCTCCCCCCACTCAAAACTACTTACACGGTTTCAAAATTCCAACACCTTCCCCTACAGTCATGTGATCACATTTTGGGTGCTCAGCAACTGGCCAGCATTTATAGCTGTTTACAGTGGTCACATTTACAATGGTTTTGCCAGAAACCGGCATTTCCTTACAGTTTCCAGTAAAAACCGACCCATAGCAAACAATGGGTTCACTTAATAACCACAGTTACAATTGCTGCAAAAAAATTTATAAAATTGGGCCAATCTATATGTTGACCTGCCTTACGACTGTCACGATTATGACTATAATTGCCAAGATCAGCTATGGTGGTAAGTCAAGAACTACTGTACTTCCCATTAGTGAACATTAGTTGCATGGCACAGCAAACCATGTTTAGTTTGTGAATCTTGGTTGTCCCATCTTACAAAACATACCAACTCAATATCAGCTATGATATGAGCCAAAATTAACTGTACCTTCAGGTTTATATTGGAAAAACAGAAAAGTATGAATAACAATACCGTAGTGTAATATGAGAAGGAACTATTTAGCTTTGCATGTTGCTTAAGATACAGTTTATTATACCGATAACATTTTGCCTCTCTATAGAATCTGTTGGGCTATTTCCACAGTGGCTCTGAAAATCTCAGCGGTGATGCCTGTGAGATGAAAATGGCAGCTCCTTCCCTCTCCCCAAGTGCCGAAGCTGAATACTGGAGAATAAGGGCGATGGCCCAACAAGTAAACAACTTTATTCCATACTTAACTGGTCTGTGCACGGATGCGTTCTTAAGATGTCTTAACACTTCCGATAAAATCAGTGCTTAGCTTTGACTAGATTAATTGGGAATTCATTTGGAGCATTTTAACCATGCTCTTGAGTTGATTTTATGTTATCAGGTCTGTAAAGATGGTTTTTTTAACGTAGGGGTGGGCTTCAAATATTGTAGCAAGGGGTTCTCTGGCCAATTGCTGGGTGGGCCAGCAATGGCCATGGTGGACATGGCCTAGTCAGCCTCCTGCACCATGGCGGGGAGGAGTGTTTTTGCCCTCCCCAGGCTCCGGAGGCGTTCCTCGAGCCACCGGAAGGGTGAAAACGGCCTCCCCAGGCTCTGGAGGCCCTTTTCCCAAACTTCCAGTAGACCCATTTTTCACCCTCCCTGAGCCTCCGGATGTGCCCTGCAATTACCTGCATCCAAAACTGGCCATGTGAGGACTCCTGGGAGGGGCGGAGCAGGGCCAGCCAGGAATGGGATTTGGGGGTTCTCCAAACTTCACAGAATCTTAGCTAGAGTTTCTCCTGAACCCCTGCAAACCCCCAGCAGCCCACCCCTGGTAACGTTACTGACTTCAGTTATCTAAAGTTAATTACCCTGACATATATCTATACGATTTTATTTATCTGTTTATGTTTAAAGTTTCACCCTTCCGATTCAAGGGAATGTTCCGTGTACATTGATGTCTTCACTGAGTTGAATAAGTTTAGGTAGGCAAGAACAAGAAACCTTTTGAAATGAAAAAAAAAATGTAATTCATTGAGTGTTGGGGGAGGAAATACCAGTTATTCTGCTGGGCTGATTTTGCCCATTGAAGAACTCCATTTGCAGTGCAGATCGAGAAGGAACTGCCTTGAGCTAAGTGAAGCCATTGAGCCAATAACAACAACAAAAAATGCCAGGGGAATATTCCGCACGGTAGTTTCTCTAGTCTTGCTGAAGTCCTCTATATGAGATGGCTTAAGTGAATAGGGCAAGACTCAGATTGTCTCATTTTAATTCCAAATTGCTTGCTCTGGTGCTGACTTGCCTGCGGTTCCTGAATATCAATAAGGCAATAGCACATTGGTATGATTTTTTTCCCCACAGGTGTTCATGTTGGACACCCAGTGCTCCCCAAAGACACCAAATAACAAGGAAGGATTTGAGCATGCTCAGTCTTGTCTGCTTATTATTGAGCTGCCTCCTGATAAGAAGTCCAATGGCCACTCACAGAAAAGGTAAGAAACAGATTTCTAAGATTAAGCAACAAACAAAATGAGACAGATGAAAAGCACTTTATATTCATATTCCTATGAATATGGTGCCTTACCATGGAAAATAAAAGGTAGTTGGGTAATTCAATAGATCAAATGTTTCCAAACTCTGTTCTGAGTCCCTTAAATAATAAATAAATATATGTAAACAGAATGAATGGGGTTAAAAAAGAAATAAATATATCTTTTTGTCTTTAAATTTTACTCTTTACACCTTGGCATGTTCAAGCTTTGCAATAGAATAAGGAACATAGACCGCAGCAAATGTTGATAGTGCAAGATTTATTTATTTTTTAAAAATGGTGATTCTCTTTCTGAGTTGCTTATGACCCCAAAGTAGTGCTGACTTACAGTTTGAGAAGTCCAGCATCACATGCGGTCTTGCCTCAGAATAAGAGTGTGGTGTTGAACTTCATCAAATATCCTTGGCACCATTAGTGCATGCTTAAGATGCAGACCCTCCCAGCAAATCATAGATTTGCACCTTTAATGCTGAGTTAGCCAAAGTATGTGAGAGAGAAAGGGGAACATGTGTACAGTCCGATGAAATTTTTTTTTTCAAGAGGTTTTGCAGAAAGCCAACAGCCCCTAAATCCAGATTTCTGGGTTAATTGTGAGCATTGGTACAAACTGTGAATTCATTGCAGGAATATAATAAAGGACATTCATGCCGTCCCGTTTCTCGACCTATTCTGATTGGGAGCTCATTCCTTAAATTTTTTTTTTTAGCAGGGATACAAATGTCCCTCTTTACAAGACTTGCTACAACAGTGGGTTTGCTGTTTGCTTATTTTATATTCTCTTGTATGTCAATCCAGAAGTGTTTTTTCAGTTTTGTTTTCACTTAGTCGAGTTTCTCTTTTTTCTGTCTGATTTTCCTTTATAATGCTGCAACCAATACACAGGAAACTTGGGTAAGACAGAGTTTCTTTCCTTCAATGCAATTTCAAGCCAACATCCAAATCATGTATTTTCTTAAATGGCATTTGAGATACAGATATTTATCCACAAAAAGTATCCCCTTAGCTATTGAAGAAATTGAAATAGATATTTAAAATGAACTGCTATTCCCTAACTATCTAGTTTAAAAGGGAGACGCCTTCCTATATTTTAAAGACTAATTCAGCAAGAAAGAAGGCCAATACAGTTACAATTTCAGTTCTTGGGTGAATTGCAACCTCTGTCAGATGCATTTACAAAATGCATTATTAAAATGAAACCCTTGAAAGTTCCTGTGTATATTCCACCCTTCCCTTTTGCCACACTGCAATGTTCAAATATGCCATGGTGAGACATTTGCTACTTTGCTATGGTAGTAGTGAATGTGTTACCAAGGACAACAACTTCTCTCCATGCACAATTTCTGGCACATTGTGATACCTCACTGTAAAACTTGCACGCATGCCACAAGAGAAAATATCCCCGCCACTTTTACTCCAAACTGAAATGTGCATTTTGGCTAGTCTTTTACCTAGCATTCCTCAGAAAGCCACAATTTTCTTTGGTGCCAGAAAACGAATGCCAGTAGTCCACCACCAGAGAGTGTTAAAACACAATGAAAGCATTATAAACACAACAGCAATTAACAAAGCCCACACATTGTAAGAACAAGTTGCAGATGATAAGCAGCATTAGTTAATGATAATGTTTACAGCAAAAAAATTATAATGATTCTGAGATGGTTATTACCTTATCACCAGAGGTTTCGTGGAAAAAGAGACTAATATAATTGAGCAATTTGAGAAACATTCATGAGGTTCTAAATTCTCTCTCTTTCTTTTTCTGCTACACGAAGTATCCCTTTCAGAACAATTGTAGTGAGCCTGCTTTCCCACCAAGTGCTGCTGCAGAATTTATACGATATTTTGTTGGAAGAATTTGTGAAAGGGCCCTCACACACTGAAGAGAAGGTAATACACCAATTGCCAGAAACCAAACTCTCTGGTTTCCTCAGGTACATTTCTATGCAGAACTTGGCTGTCATCTTTGATTTACTATTGGACTCCTACCGAACAGCCAGAGAGTTTGATACAAGGACTGGGCTGAAGTGCTTGCTCAAAAAGGTATCTGGCATTGGTGGGGCCGCCAATTTGTACCGCCAGTCGGCTATGAGCTTCAATATCTACTTCCATGCCTTGATCTGTGCTATTGTGACCAATCAGGAAAATATCACTGCGGAACAAGTGAAGAAAATCCTTTTTGAAGATGATGAAAGGAGCACGGATTCATCCCAACAATGCTCTTCAGAAGACGAAGACATTTTTGAAGAGACTGCTCAAGTCAGCCCACCAAGGGGGAAAGAGAAGAGGCAGTGGAGGGCCAGGTTGCCATCTCTGAGTGTTCAGCCCGTGAGCAATGCCGACTGGGCTTGGCTAATCAAAAGGCTTCACAAACTCTGCATGGAGTTATGTAATAACTACATTCAGATGCATTTGGATTTGGAAAATAGTGCTGATGAGCTCCCTGTCTTCAGGGGAGATCCTGTCTTAATCCTTCCAGCCTTTCAATCAGAAATACCCATACCATCTACTGGATCCCTTTCTGGAAAAAATACCCCTTCAGAAGATGATAGAAGCCAGATTAGGGACTCCCTCACCGAAAACCTCACTCCTAAGGGAAGTACAGATGTGGTGCTTCTTCCACCTTTGAGCCCCAAAATGGAGAAGAAAGACCAAGGCAGAAAAAAAGAATGGTGGGAGAGTGCTAGCAACAAAATTTACAGCATAGCAACAGATAAAACAATATCAAAACTAATGACGGAATATAAAAAAAGAAAACAACAGCAGCATAATTTGGCTAATTTCTCCAAAGAGATGAAAGCTGACAAGAAAGGGGATCCGCTCGGAACAAGAGGGCCAGATTCACCTCTCCCCCAACGGCCACAAAATCTGATCGATCAAGGCCAGATGAGGCATTCCTTTAGTGCAGGGCCAGAGATTCTGAGGCAAGAAAAGAGGCCACGCTCCGGGTCAACTGCCAGCTCATTCAGTATATCGGTCCGGGATGGAGAGGCACAAATACAGGTAAGAAAAAAGGAGAAGAAAGGAAATAAAGGGGAAAAACTTTAAATTTGGGAGACCTCCTTTTGCCTTTCATATTGGGGCACTTGGTTTCCTAATTGGTTTTTAAACAGAGACCTATGATCATATAAAATAAATTGGTTTTTTAAACAGAAACCTATGATTATACAAAATGTGAGATGCTTGTGACTACACAATGAGTCTTAAGCATATTGTATTTTTAGCAAAATGTTCAGGTGTTGTTATATACATGAAGATATACACCTACATATAAAGTGTATACATGCAGCTTCTTGTCAAAAGTGTCTTATTCCAACTTATCTCCACATGAACACTCTTGACAATCATCTAAGTTTCTTCTGCACTGAATTTTTTGTGATTAATTCAGATGTCAACAAGATCCTTGTGAACCTTCCCAGAATAAGTTGATATCCAATATGTTCTGATTCCGCTTAGTTTAATTCGTTCAGTGTAGTCACCAGCTGTTTCCAAACCAACTCTGGGTGACATACAATAAATCTTCAAGGTAAATTCCATGCAGAGCACATTGCAGTAGTTATTTCCTTTTAGTTTTTCATTTCTGGCATGTTTGTCAAGTCAGCATTTTTATGCATCTTGGCTTGGATCAACTAGATATAGTTGATCAACTAGAAGATAGAAAAGGGGTTTCTAAGTGCCCCTTATTTAAATAGATTATTCTCCTTTCTTGGGTAGTTTACACTGATAGCCCTATTACTCAACCCTGGGAGAACACTTTTGATACCGAACTGCCTTATGTTCTTACTTAACACTGATACTGCATTTCTTCTAAAGATGTCCTTCCTATTTTCCCTACTATTCTATGTGCTTCCATTTGTTTTTTGCATTGTCCTAATTTATAGATTTACTTGTTCCCTTTTTTCCCCCTCCCTCTCTCTCTTTGCATTGTTTTAGGCATGGACCAACATGGTCCTGACAGTTCTTAATCAGATTCAATCCCTACCAGACCAGATCTTCATCGCTCTACAACCAGCGGTATTTCCCTGCATCAGTCAATTGACTTGCCATGTGACAGATATCCGGGTTCGTCAGGCTCTGAGAGAATGGCTAGGAAGAGTGGGCAGGGTTTATGACATCATTGTGTAGAAGACTTTAGTTGCCTTATCAAAGAGAGACTGAATCTAAGATACTTCAAGGAACAGAAATAAAGTGCATTTGTTGAAAACTTGCCTGTTAAAAAAATGGTAGAAAGATGTACATCTGCCCATTTGCTAGTCCGTAATAACTAGCAAGCTCTATCCCATGCTGTTAAATCTTAAGAGCACAGTGTAGTCATACTCATAACACCAGAGAATGTAATATAGCAGAGTATGACAGAAAGAGCCTTTGTATTAAATTTGAAGTAGGTATTCAGACAGACTGACAGGCTCGGTTTGTTTGATACTGCATATTTTTTAAAGAGGAAAAAAAAAGTCTCTTTCACAAGAAGGTAGCAAAGAAGATTGTGGAGCAAGGAAAATAATGAGGAATGAACACAGTCATGTAATAGGCTTTGTCAGAATTGACCGTTGAGAATGTAATGATTGCTGAAATGTCTGTACAGATTTCTCTTACGTCTTTAATGAGGCATCGGATCCTTAAGCCATCTAAATTTAAAACAATATTTGTACCAATGAACAGAGGAGCCCATTTATTCTAACCTTTATAAAACATCTTGGCCATGAAAACTAGGCCTCCAGACTTAGGAAGTGACTATATTTCAGTGTGATTATAACAGGTTTTCAGACAGAAGTACTTACCATCTTGGAAGTACTGCACAGGCGCCATGAATTATTTCATATTGCTATAAGGTGTCTGTCTAAAAATTGGTAGAATTGTCCAATGCTCATTTAATAAATAAGTTTAAGTCATTTTTCTCGTTTTGGTGCAAATCCAAGACCAAAAATGTATTTTCTCTGTTGTGTAAATTGCAAATGCTACTTAGGTTTTCTGGTTCTATATTTTTGCTCATCCCTTCACTGGGTGTTAACAAATGCTGTGAAGTGTGTCCCAGGTTTTCTGTTTTCAGGCTTTCCATTTGTATTGCCTGGCTTCTCTGTCAGGACAAAAGAATCTGAAAATTAGGCACGTGACTAGAATATGTAGAGTTATCAAATTTTTGCCCTTACAACAGATCTGTAAACTAGATCACTCTCAGAGATATTTAGTGACCTTTGTCGTTTTATGGCCAAGCAGAATTATCGTTCACTCATCATTCTTTTCTTAAACCAAGCTGGGTGACATCCATAGCTGAAAATAAAGAAATGTAAGAAACGTTATCTTAATTATGGGACAGATTGAGTCACCACATCTATTTATTTACTACATTTATACAAAGTGTATAAATGCTTTCTCTATGTTTTCTTACAGAGAGTAAAGCATAACTTTAAATATTAGTGTATAATTTAATAGGCTAGTTACAATTGAGAAAAGTAGACACAAGGAAGGGAAAATACACAAGTTTATATAATGTGGCCATTACATAAAGGGCAGTTCTTGTAGAAGAAAAAAGGAGAAAAAATCAGTATCTAATTTATGGGAAGCTGAGGTGGTGGAGGTAGCTGGCTGGTATGGCTGTGAATGGAAGGGATGAGCAGCCAGTTAGGTGTTAATTCTAGTAAAGGAACTTGGGAAAGGCAGCTGTCTCCTCACCTTGCCTTCATAATAGCATTTGCACCCTGACAACTTCTCACACTGAAATTGGCCACAATTGTCTTAACTCTGGAAATATAGAAGGCTCAGAGAACATGACAGTGTTTTCCATCCCTCTATTTGACCAATAGCAGAATGACTAGAACTCCACCCACCTACCCAATTTCTCTGTAATTATCATACAGAAATATAAACTCCAAATCCCCCTGAGAAGTTGCTCTGATGGGAAGCTATATGAGGTGAGGTTGATTGGAAAAATGCAAACAAAGCACTAATATCCTCTGGTGGTTTCTCAGCCAATTCAACATCAACCCTTTCATACACTCAGACACGAGTATGGGTTGTACACGTGAAATCACTTCTTATTGCTGACAATTTTTCCATCAGCTATTTTTCCTTACAGTTGTGACCAGGGCTTAATGATCCTGGTTAGTATGCAAGAGTGAAGGAAGATAAATACTAAATATTGGAAACTTATGGATCAAGATACAATGGGTGGCAGAGGAGTTCAGGGACAGATGTCAGGGGAGGCATGAGATTTTTTATCAATGGGAAAACCAACAACCCACAAGATCTGCAGAGATAGTGATTAAGCTTCTTTGGATCAGTCTGGTGTGGAGCTGATGCCAGAGGAATTCAGGACACTGGTGTGAAAGTGCCTACAGGCAGCTGGTGAAGAATGAATCCCAGCTACACCAATAAAGGGGAGCTCACTTTTGAACTACTGCTAAAACTGAACAACTGGCGGTCACGTTTCACTGCTCCAAAAACGATATGTGGTATGTGAGCCCACACACTTTCTCTTGTCTTATATGAATGTGATCAAACTCTGCATCTGCCTTCTCTCTCTTTGTTAAGTCATTGTTGGAATATGCCCAAATGAGAGCAGTAGCTCTTGCATCAGCAAGTGTTAGAGGCACCAGAAAAGTATTCTGTGTGCCACGTTGGGAAACAGTTGGGATCAATCTTATGAGCAGTGCAGCATTGCCTGTTGTGCTAGCCTTCATTTTCAACCACAGGCATCGAACTGATTGCGTGGAAGAGCCTTAATCGGCCTGCCCTAGGATGCCTTGCAGCTTGCTTGAACAGCAAATAGCCCTGTTTCCTTTGCTTCCCCGCTTTCTCGTTCAGTTAACAGAAGACTTTGAATGTACAAGTTGTGTCAGCTGCTGCTGAACTCTAGTGATTGTCTATTATGAATTATGGAATTCTTTGTCAGTGCTATGCCCTGAGATGATTGTTTGATTCTTCTATTTGTTTGTTCTTTAAGGTTTAAATAATGCTGTGTTTCTATGGTTCTTCGTGAAGAGGGAATTGTTTTTGGGGAACATTTTCACATGGTGTACACCTACATTGTTTGTTAGTGAGATCTTATACATGTACTCTAGTTTGTCACTTTGAAGCATCTGTTGACTACATGGTAATTTGAGCAGAGAGACAGAATCACCCTACTCAAGATTTTTTTCATCTGTTCTCCTGAATGCTGAAAAAAAATGTTTGGATTTCAAGTGTTGCTTTTCAGTTCTGTGCTGTTGGGTATAGATTACTTGTACATGCTGCGCGTGGAATGACAAAGTGCTAACGTTTTGTATGTAAAAAGTGGAATAACAAAGTGTAACAAACTTGTAGGGCCGCTATTACAAAAGCAGGCAACAATTTATTATTATTTATTTCAAAGAAGGAAAGTATTACACATTCCTGCCACTACCAAGAATGACTATTGATTGTAAACCATTTCAGATTGTAAACCACAAGGGAAAGTGGTAGATACACAACAGTTCCTGCTGAAGATCATAATATTATTTATTTATTTATTCAGGGTGACTGAAAGTATTACGTAACTCTAAAATATAAGTTAACTGAAAGTTCAGCCAAACTTAAAGAAAAACATTCACTGGGCAGAAAAGGGAGAATGTGCCTCATTCTGAGGATAGGTAGATAATGTCAAGGGAGGAAACTAGAGATTTAGTTTGATATTTAATGGAAAATCACTGAGTGGGAGGACAAGTTTTATTTTTCATGGTTTCCAACTGCTATAGACTTTTTATGGAAACACATGCCATAAAACTGGGAGGCACATTTGCCTATGGTGCTTTTGGCCTTGCAAGCGAGACATGGGTGCACGTTTGTGGAAAGAGCCATTAGACTTCATGTGTGTGCCAATCTAGCTGCCCTTTCCATTTTCTCAATGACCAAGCTCTTGTGAGCCCAGAGCTCATGTTTGCATGTTGATCCTTCAAAGGCCCTCCTGGGTCAGGGAATTGCACTTCTCCAGTAGTGCCTGCAAAATCAGGCAGTCATACACTCAGTGACTTGGTCTCCACACGTCTCAGAATGACGAATGGGCAGGGGAAAGGACATTCTTCAGGGCAGAAGCTTGCACCCTTTTTCACTATGCAAAGTTTGGGTCGTGATTATGGGATCTAAGATGGAATTTGCACATTCAAGGAATCAGAGGGCAGTCACAGAATGTTGTTGCTCTGGATCCATTTTATTTGTTTGTGTCCATACTGCAAAAGCAATTTATAGTGGACCCTGATTTCCATATTCTAAATATTCCCCTCCTAACAGCTGCCCATGATTTGGAGGCAGAAAACAAATGCTGACAGCAGTGACAGAAAGTGTAGGAGTTAGAACTTTCACACAATACTGTTATGTATATGCAGAGTTGTTGTCTGCGATGGCAGCTGGCAAGTTTTGTTTCGTACCATAACATTCTGGGAGGTGGGGGGGAATGCTCTGCCTTAACTAAAAGGAAAGTTGCTCTACCAAAATGAAAGAGGAACTTCAGTCTTCAAGCAATTTATTGATTAACCAGGTCCTACAATTATTACTTTCCCCAGACAGATCCTATGCCAAACAGTGAAATGCAACCCCCAAAGGAGCATTTTCTCTCTTATACCAAAGATCCAATTTGTTAAAAAAAGAAAAGAAAAATAGTGATGCTTGCCACAATTGGGCTTGTATCACTAGACAGACGCGAAAAGACAGGAATCCAAACTATTTTGAAGGGGACAAAGACATTTGGGGCCCCTTTCCAGCCAACCTTTACTCTTGGTTATGCATAGTCTTTGGTCAAGATATGCAATTCTCTAAGCACTTGAAGATTTGGAAGAAGGTTGGGTATAAAGAACTATGACGCCAGGATGTATTGAGACCCTCAAAGGGTCTTCACAGTTTGTTGTGTTTGGATTTGTTTTATGGTGGCCGATGAAAGCCTATAAGGAATATCTGTTGACAAAATGTCTGGATCCTGCGATAGCTTTCCTTGTGCTCTTAAAAATAACTCCCCTAAACCCTCTTCTTCTATTGGTCTATGTGGGGAGGGGAGAGGGAGGGACATCCCTGAACCATTTCTCTCGTATGTATGTTTAAGAACAGTTCGTTGTAAGCCACTTTGCAAAATGTATTTTGTGTATATTTTGTTCAGAGGGAATTCTTAAAGGAGGATATTTTAAAACGAATCATAATTATTTGTGTTGCTTGTGTTATAGAATAAAGAAACTATAAAAAAAAGTAAAGCAAGTGTGGAACTTTTATTTATTTAAATGAAATAATTTTATTTGGAAAGTTCAGTAGCACAGAACAAAAATGCTACTGAATACGATAATTAGTTGCATCCCCTTAATTTTGGAATAATTATCTTTTTTGTCCTGTTAAGTGACTTGAATACCCGCAGTTGTCATTCTGAAAATACGATCATGCCAAATCTAAAGGTTAACAGAAAATTGTTGGCAAGTAATTTTTCTGTTATTTTCCTTAATTCATCTTTAAAGACTGTGTAAACATTTCAAGCGTGAGTGTTCCAGCTGCACTAATGAGCAATTTTATTTTCATTAATGACCCCTGTCGGAGAGACTCCATATAGGAATATACCCTTCTTAATCCGTTTAGAGTCTTAGACTTTCCAGTATTGCAATAACTGAACTTGTAAGAAATGTTTCAGGGAAGAATTGGGTCAAAGAATCTTTTCATCCCTGTTCCTTTTGGTACTTGGCTGTGAATTCTCAGACAATCCGACTTGGGACAGAACAAAAGGTTGTCTTTGCTATGTCTCCTGCCTGCAGGTGGCAGGTCCTTAAAGACATTGTGGCCCACTCAGAGAAACAGCAACACTGGCAGCTGTCAGATAGTGGCATGGCAGCTATTTTGGTAGTCCTTCTTTAGTCATCAGATGCTGCACAGCAGACAGTTTTACTTGACTTTCTCTGTTTGGCCCTGTGGTGCTATAGTGCTGTGTGTTGACCAAGCCTAGAAGATGTTGCTATAGGCAGAGGTGGGTTTCAGCAGGTTCTGACCAGTTCTGGAGAACCGGTAGCGGAAATTTTGAGTAGTTTGGAGAACCAGTAGTAAAAATTCTGACTGGCCCTGCCCCCATCGATTCTCTGCCTCCCAAGTCCCAGCTGATTGGGAGGAAATGGGGATTTTGCAGTAACCTTCCCCTGGATTGGGGAGGGAATGGAGATTTTACAGTATCCTTCCCCTGCCACGCCTACCAAGCCATGCCACTCCCACCAAGCCACACCCACAGAACCGGTAGTAAAAAATTTTGAAACCCACCACTGGCTATAGAGCAGAGGTCTTCAAACATGGCAGCTTTAAATCTTGTGGACTTCAACTCCCAGAATTCTCCAGCCAGCATAGCATAGCTGGCTGGAGAATTCTGGGAGTTGAAGTCCACAAGTCTTAAAGCTGTCAAGATTGAGGACCCCTGCTATAGGGCATCCTTTTTCTTAATGTCTGCATTGCTCTGATGACTTTAGTTGAGCTAATTATGAAGTGACTTTGCGATCATTGTCTGACAGTCCTGCCCAAGAAAGAAATTACAATAAAATGTCCATTGTACCTATTAGGGTTTATCAAATGGATTTCTAGAGTAATGAGCTGAACCTATTGATTACAAGTAATGAAAACTGTCATTAGTCAATTACCATGATTGAACTGCAGTGGCGTGATCTTGAGATGGCTGCACGGTGGTCCTTTCATGCATTAGAGGTTGGAACTAGAGAGGAAGGATTTAAATTGTCTCTCCTTTATGGCTATGATCCTTTTATAGTGATTGATATTTGCATTCTGATCATTGTTCTTTGCTACGGTAAAAGAATTCTAGGCACTCTGACAAAGCTCATGGCTAAAGCCTGAAAGCATAGAATATGCTGCCCAAGCAACACTTAACTACAGCCCCAAGTCCTCAATGTCATTCGGATGCTGTCTAGTTGAATATGTTCTACAACCCACTCTAGTTCTTTCTAGCTTGACCCATAGGCTATTCTCTTTCAATTCATTTTGGAGTTATAAAGGAAATTAAGTGGGCAGACATGGAGATTTCTAGAAACAGATTTGGAGTTTATTATAAGGAGGGGGGAGGCAAACAAGAGAATATAATAATGCTGACTTCTCATAGTAAATATAATTGAATTGCCACCTAGAACCTTTCTGCTTTGCCTAGCTCCTTTAGCAATATTATATGAATAATAACTGTTGATAATAGAGAATATTGGTAGGAGTCCTTGGTCCAAATCCTTTTTGTAAATTCAAAATAGAAAAGTTATCTAAGATGCTCATCTGGTCTATTATTTGTATGCCTTTTTTAATTATTAACTTAGTATGGGAGGTGGACAGCCTAAAAATTTAATTTAAAAAAATAAAATTAAAAGCTCAGCTGATTTCTGTAAATGTTATGTTTCATCTTGTTCAATATCCTTCTTCTGTAGTCAGTAGTTGGTCACCTTTACATCAAGATTTAAGTCAATATCATTTTTGTTCAATAAAACTTATACCTCTTCCATAGCATCATCTATTTTATCAATAATAATAGAAATATTTGAAAGTAATTTCCGAAATATTTGTTCACACAATACATCCATTGTTTTGTTTGCATCTGATGTCTTTTAAAGTCCCATTATCATGGTATTTAAATGCATTTATATTAAATCCATTGGAACCTTTAATCCCTATATAACTTTCTTTTTTAAAAAAACTTTAAACATCCTTGTCATGTCAATTCTAAAAAGACTTATTTTTTTTCATAAGCTCTTCAACTCTTACCGAAATCTTATTTTGATTGAAAAAAACTTACCCAGTGAAAGTCATAAAATTTGCCACCCTGGAGGTTCTCAATATTTAAAAAGTATGCAATTCCAAAGTGATTAAGAAATGAAAATTGGCAGAACTCTGAGTCCAAAGAGGCTGCATTAAGCCTATGAGTTTAGATGGAAACTTTTCTCAACTCCCAGCTGCTACGCTCCCTAATGCACAAAAGCATTAGTTCCTGTGGTTTACTCAAAGCTGTCTGGAGTGTCTGTGGCAAATCTCAACATCTCTGCTTGTCTCCAGAGAGTTTTCACTGGCCCAGATCCTGCATCCAGCCCCACATTTCATGTCTGTTTTTCAAGAACATCTTCAATTTGCCATGACTCCCTGAAGTCTTGTATTATTGTATTGTTAATTTTTTGTTAGGCATAAGTGTAGAATTCAAAGTGAGAGAGGTAATTTTAAATTTCATTTTTTAAAAATATTCAGGGCATGTGACTATCGCTTGTGAGTGAGTGTGTGTGTGAGAGAGAGAGAAAGAGAAAGAGAGAATGAAAGGATTAGGGTTAGTGTATTTTGGTCATTTAGACCAAAAGTGAGTCAGAGTTCATAAATCATACGAT